CAAGCGTGCCAGGCTCGCAGGGGCTTTCCGCACCTGGCCTTGGCCGTGCCCTGCCCTGCCCTGGGGAACAGGAGTCCATCCCCACATTCCAGATGAGGCTCAGAGGCCACACTGCTGCCCGCTGCCCACCCTCCCCCCCAACCGCCCCAGGGGCCCCTGTCCTCGCCAGAGGATAAGCTGGTGCCCAGCGTCTGCTCACTCAGCATCCCGGCTGCCTCTCTCTTTGTCATTCTGCTGACTCATGGGGGAAACTGAGGCCGGGGAGAGCCAGCTCACCCATGCATACACTGCAGCAGGGGACTCACACTCAGCCTGTCCCCATGCTGGTCCCCTCTGCAGCTCAGACGCCTTCCAGCACGGGCCAATCCCCCAGGCAGGGTGATGCCAACCCAGCCCCCCTTCTGTTTCATAGTGGACAGAAATGCCCCCAGCTGGCCCGCTGAGGTGGATGGCAATGGAGCTACTAGGAGGCTATCGGGGCCCCCACATCCTCACTTTCTAATAGAAATGTTCATTTCATTCCAAAGACAGGGTTCCCACCTGCTAGTTCGTTCTAGTGTCTACAAGAGCCAGTGCTGGGCCAGGCTGCAGCTCCATCCGGGTCTCCCCCACGGGGGGGGCAGGGCCCCAAGCACTTGAGCCATCGCCTGCTGCCTCCTGGCGCGTGCATGCGCAGGCATCCCAAGGGGCGACCTAACCCCTGGTCAACCCTGCTCTTACATCCCTTCTGGGAGCCAGGTCTGAGTTGTCATCACAGGGTCCCTGTTCCTATAGTCCCTGTTAACAACAGCAACCGTGCCGGTGCCAGGCCGGGTCGATACTTGCTAACCCGTCTGACTCAGAGTAGCCCTGTGCAGCTGCTCGGGCCTCCTGTTTTATAGTTAGGAAATCTAGGAGCCAGACAAGGATCAATCCAACCAGCGCCGGGTCCACAGGTGCAAAGCCACTGAGCTGAAGTACAAGCCAGGGGTCCCAGGAACGGCTGGGGCCACCGAGGATGGGCCTGCCCAGCCGTCCACCTGCACCCAGGACAGAGGCTGCTGCTGCTCTGATCAAGGCAGTGGTGGGCTGGCTGGGGGTGGGGGTAGGAGGGAAGGGGAGTGTTGGTCTCCCAGGCCTGAGCGCTAGAGGATGTCCATGTCGCAACCTCTGAGTCAGCAGGGACACAGGGAAAAAGCAGAAGGGTATGTCTTGGCACGGGCCCATGTGGGCCCAGCCTGCTCGGTGCCCGGGGCTCCAGCCCCTGCCAAGGCCCCAGGGTGGGGAGGGACCCAGAGGCCAGGCCCAGGCCCTGCTCCAGGAAGCTGGCCCGTGTTCACCCCACTGGGATGGCAGGAGGGGGGAGGAGGGAAGGAGCAAAGAGGGGACACAGGTGGTGGCCACGTGGACTTCCAGCCCGGAGCCAGACAGCCCTCCCTGCCAAGCTCAGTACGTCTGCAGGGCGGAGCTCACCTGATCTTCTCGACTTCTCCTGGCACCCCATGAGTCACAACTCCATCTGCAGCACCCATGGGACTCCCGCAGACGCCCCTCTGACGGCTCTCTCCCCAGATGCCTGCAGCTGCCCCAGCTGCTGACCAGCTGAAGGCAAGAGCCTGGAACACACTCTGGATTCCCCGTCATCGCACCCCGCAGGAGTCCTCCCCTGCCTCCTCCAGGGTGCACATTTAGCAGGATGCTGGAACTGGAATCCCAAGCTCCGAGACCCAGGGCATCTCAAGTGGTTTCAGAGAGCAATCGCTCCACTGGCTCATCCTCCCCTTTGGAGTGCCAGAATCTCATCATGGGTGCTGGTTTCAGTCCCGGCTGCTCCACTTCTGCTCCAGCCCTCGGCTAATGCACTCCCCTGCCTTGCCCTGGGAGAGCAGGGGAGCTTAGCCCAAGAACGTGGAGCCCTGATGAGGCTCCTTGGCCACTTGAGAAGTGGGCACTGTGGCATAGTGGGCTAAGCTGGCACTCCTAAGATGCTCTCATCCCATTTCGGAGCACCAGTTTGAATCCTGGCTTCCCCACTTCCGGTCTACCTTCCAGCTAAGACATTTGGGGAGGAAGTGGATGGTGGCTCAAGTGTTGGGGGCTCCTGGTGCAGCCGAGCCTGGCATTTAGGGATGAAGAACTCGGACACCCGGCCTTTGAAACTTTTTTTTTTTCCTTAAGATTAATTTATTTTCCATGAGAAGGCAGATCCACAGAAAGGAAGATCTTGCATCCACTGGTTTACTCCCCAGATGGCTGTGATGGCCAGAGCTGAGCCGATCTGAAGCCAGGAGCCAGGAGCTTCTTTGGGGTCTCCCACGGGGGTGTAAGGTCCCAGGGCAGCACCAGACCTCAAGCGGCTGTTTAACCTCTCACACCAAGTACCTGCCCCTCAGCTGTGGGTTTAATGAGGAAGCCCTGGCCCAGTGCATAGGCTAAGGAAGTGTGGAGATAAGGAGACCTCACTGGCTCACTCGGTCACTCTGATCAGCAATCCGACAGAGCCAAACAACCAGCACGCAGCAGAGCCCAAACCCCAAAGCCCGAGGTGTCCCATCCTATTTTCCCTCCTTGCTGTTGAAACACATGTTGACTGCGATCATCATGGTAGCATCATTAATACTAAGTAGGACTATTAACCATCCAGGCTCATTGCACGGGGCACTTTCTGCAGCTCAGACCACTGCTTGGGCCCATTCTACAGATGAGCAAACTGAGTCTCCAGGTCAAGAGACTCCCGCTCCACCAGGATGGCATTCAAAGAGGAGGTCGGGGCCTGACCAGCCCTGACCGCTTCTCTCAGAACGGGGAATGAAGGCCCACAGCTCCCCAGCCGCGACTCCACCCCCTCTTCAGGGCCTCGGACAGGTACAGTGTGGGGTCCTTCCTCCTGGAGCCCCAGCAGCTTTGGGCAGGGAGGCCTGTGTGAGGAGCATGGTTAGACACCAAGCAGGACTTCCGGGCCTTCTCTGGGAAGTTTCTGGGACTCATCCAGGGGCTGCCCCTGCCTCTGGGGGGCCCCCAGAGCTCCAGACCCAGAGAGGGGAGACCCTAGTCCTCCCCGCCTGGGGCGCCAGGAGCAAGGGGGAGGAGGGGGGCATCCTGGTTCCACATCCTCCGTTCCCGACACGGGCGGGAGTCTGCTGCGGGAGCCGGGACTTTCCTGAAAGGCACAAGATTCTGGGAAATTGGAGACAGCTGCAGGGCGGGGCTGTGCCAGCGCCCTGCCCTCCCCTCCCCTGCCCCGGTCCCCATAGCTTCCCCAGGAGGCCTCACTCCGCTCCCCTCAGGGCAGCCTTCCTCATACTCCCTCTTCCCCGGCGTGGCCAACCACCACCCTCAGACCTCTCTCTTCCCTGCCCCCCAACTCACTCCTCCCCCCCGCAGAGCTGCTTCTCCTCACTCAGCTCTTCCGACTTCCTCAGATGGTGCCCCACAGGCCCCTCCCCTCCCCCAGACCCTCCCCCACTCAGCCCTCCCCCCACTCAGACCCTCCCCCACTCAGCCCTCCCCCAGACCCTCCCCCACTCAGCCCTCCCCCCACTCAACCCTCCCCCTAACTCACACTCTCCCCCCAACTCATACCCTCCCTCAACTCATACCCTCCCCCACTCACACCCTCCCCTCTCCCTCACACCCTCACCTCCTCCCTCACACCCTCTTCCCACCCCTTGAACTACCTGCTTTCTCACACCTGTCTTCTTGCAGGTCCTCCACTCTCAGACCCTTCGATCTCTTATGCATCCTAAAGACTTGGGGTCCTGCCCCCAGCTCATCAAACATCCCTCACCCCACGGGCACCAAGCATGGACACCCCCGTCCTCCAGTCCGATCCCCACACCTGCTGCCCAGGGGGAAGGCTACATGGGGAGGGAAACCAGCACCCAGCCTCCAGCCCCCTTCTTCACCTCTCCCCCTGAGGCAACCCCACAGTGCTGGCAGGCAGGGGTTGGCACTGCCCCCATTCTGTAGAATGACATATTAGGTCTTGACACGGAATGGCAGCCAGCAGCCAGTGCAGTGGCCTTAGCTGCCTGGGACTCCGGCACCACAGAACAGAGTGCCTAGTTGCAGCTGCTCCAGCTCCCCAGCTTCCTGCTAATGTGCACCCCCAGGAGGCAGCATGTGACAGCTTAGGCAGTTGGGTCCCAGCCACCCGGACAGGAGACCCAGACGGAGACCCAGCTCCTGGCTTTGACCCTGCCCTAACTGTTAGGGGCATCTGGGGAGTGACCCAGCTGATCAAAGATACCAGTTTGCCTGCCTTTCAAATAGAGAGACTGACTTATCTGAGTGTGTCCCTCCCCGCACCCCAGCCTCAAGGAAGTGAGGGGCAGAAGTGCCATTGGGGCCCAGTCTGCTAATGGGCCCTCTTGCAGGCTTTGCCAGAACAGAGGCCCCAGGGAGATCCGAGGACAGGAGGGCAGGGAGAGGTGGGGAGGGAGGCCCCCGCCCCCGGGTTAACCATCCACCCGGGTGCGGCCGGCCAAAGTCCCTGCCCTTGTTCTAGGGCCCACACCCACCGCCAGGGTCCCAGAGGGCTGCTGTCCAGGGCACAGACAGACACGAGTGAGAAGCAATAACCCCAAACCCGAAACTGCACAAGAGTCTGGAGGCACAGTCGATCAGAGACAGAGAGAAGGGGGCCCAGGAGACCCTCCGCGTGCCCCTGGGCAGGTCTGGGTGCAGCCTCCCCAGGATCGCCAAGATCTCCCCCTCCCCGTCCTGTGACTCAATGACCCGGACTCAACCCCGGCGGCGGCCCCGCCTCCCCTCCCCAGGGAGATCCGGGAAAGCCCCGCGCGGCCGGCGCCCCGCCTCGGGGCGGAGACCGCGACGACGCCCGCCCCTGCCTTCCTCCCTCCCCGCAGCAGCTCCAGCCCATCTGAGTCACGTCCCCAGCCCGCCAGGCCTGTTCCCCACGTCCCAGCAGGGGAGTCACACTGCTCGCCCCCTCCCCGAGGCCCGGGCCGTGGTGGTTCGACCCTGGCCGGCTGGCACGTCTGTGCCTCTTGCACTTACAGACGCGCGCGCGCGCACGCCATCTAGGGCACTTAGGTTCTCCAAGTCTCTGGCCAGCTGGGATTCCCCGGGCACCCAGTCCGTGCACGCCCCGCTCCCACCGCCCCCAGACCCCAAGCTGCCCAGGTACACGGAAGAGGCAGAGGGAGAGTCCCCTCCCCCGCTGCGCGCCCCGCACCTGCCCGGGGCCAGGCCCTACCTCAGGTCCTGCATCCACTAAGGAGGAAGCAGCCCGGGGAGGGGAAGTGCCAGGTCCAGGTCATCCAGCGAGGAAGTGGGAGTTAGGACCTGGCGACCTCAGGGTCTCCAAGGAATCACCTCGCGGAGGCGGAGAGCGTCGCAGGGGTACAGAGCTGGCGAGGCCAGGAGAACTCAGGGATGGGGGTGTGTTTGGTGGTTGGGGGACGGCGGGGTTGGGGAGGGGGCAGTTGCTCCGAGAGGCACAGACACGGCCAGAGACCCAAACTTGGAATCAGACATCGGCCTGCAGCGACCCAAACTGATCCCGACCCCGAGGTCCGGGCACCGCGGGGCGGGCCGAGGAACGGGGCGGGCGGGGCGGCGGCTCCAGGAAACCCCTGGGGCGGTCGGGTGGCCCCGGAGGGGGGGGCCGGGGGCGGGGAGGTGGCCGGCACCGCCCCGGCCGACAAAAGTCCCTTCAGTTCAGCCGGCGGCAGGGGAAGTCCCGGCGCTCGGCGAAACCACCCTCCCGTGCCGCCGAGCCCAGCCGCGCTCCGGCCGCCCGCTCGGCCGCCGTCCCCGGCGGCCCCATGCCCCGATGCCCCGCGGGGGCCATGGACGAGGGGCCGGTGGACCTGCGCACTCGGCCCAAGGCCACCGCGCACCCCGGCGCCGTGCTGCCTCTGCGTAAGCGCCCGCTGCGCGCGCCCTCCCCGGAGCCCGCCGCGCCCCGCGGCACCACCGGCCCCGCAGTGCCCTCGGACCCCCTGCGCGGCAGCGGCGGTGTCTGCTGCGACGCGGCCATCGCTCCGGGTCCCTCTCACGGCCTGGCGCGGCCGGAGGCGCTGTACTACCCCGGTGAGTGTCCCCGCGGGGTCAGGGCCGGACCAAGTAGATGACAGGGGTGCCCGCAGGCCGGGGCACAGCAGGATGGGATATGCAGTCCAGGGGTGTGGACAGATCACCAAGGGGCGTCCGTAGGGGCGGAGGGTCAAGGCTGCCTCGCAGGGGGTTGGGAGGTGCAGAGCCCCTGGCACAGATCTGGGGGTGTCCGTCAGGGGATGCAGCTTCTGCAGTGCAGAAGGCAGAGGTAGGAGGCTAAGGGCAAGCTGGCTGCTGGGACGAAACATCGGGTCCTGGCGGCTTGACTTGGGGGGTCAAAGGCAGTCAAGCCAGTAGGGCCTGGGTCCCCAGGTGATGGACCTCAGCAGTTCCCGGATGCCAGAAATCTGGGGAGGCCAGGCTGTGGGGAAGTACAGGCCGCAGGAGAACAGAGTCGAGGTTCCCAGCACCCCAGGATCTAGGATTGCAGAGGTCCGGACAGGGGGGACCCCAGGATTCAGGGCTGAAGTGCTGCATTCAGGGGTCTCCAGATGGAAGGCCTGACCCCAAGGAATAGGCATGCCCAGACCCCCCACCTCCTCAGTGCAAAGATGCCAAATGTATGCTTTCCACCCCATCTGAGCAGCCAGAGTGCCTCAAGCTGTGCACCAGGGTCTTCTCTGCTTCTCAGCTCCTCCAATATCCTGGGAGGGACCCCTGGCCTCAGTCTTCCCCATCTGTGTGCTGGGCAGATGCAGAGGCATTGTTGCAAGGATCTCTTCCAGCAGTCTGGTCCCAGCAGGCCTCCTCCAGCATCCCCCCTCACTCATCTCCCCCCCCCCCACTATGCCCCACAGCAGGCATTCCTCCCTCACCCCTGCTAGTGAGCTGGGCTCCCCCTGCCCTTACAGGGTCCGGTTAGGAGCTGGGAGTCAGACGAAAGAGACAGGTGGCAGTGAAGGTGTACTGGCTGAGGGAGAGAACAAAGCGGGATGTGAGCGAGGGGGGTCATCCCAGGCTGGAGGACGCAGGATGACGGACAAATGGAATCGGCAGTGGAGGGCAAGTGGGCTCGGCCTCACCCAGCCCTTCTCTGCACCCCTCGGTGCAGCACCTCTATTGCCCTTATACTCCACGGCGTCCATGGGCCCCCCGTTCCCGCTGCTGAACCTGCAGACGCACCTGTACCCCGTGATGTGCTCCATGGAACACCCCCTGTCAGCCGACATCGCTGTGGCCACCCGTGCGGATGAGGATGGAGACACGTAAGTGACATTGCCTTGTGAACCTAGGGTGGGGTGTCAGAAGGACCGGCTGTGCAGGACACAGGGGAGGTGAGCTCTCCCCAGGAGCTGTGGGACCTCTGAGGCCCTTCCAACTCGGGGCCTCAGTTTTCCTCTCTGAAAAATGGGCACCCAGACAGCCTCCTGGGACTGTTTTTAGGACAGTGGCTCTTCCAGTTTTGCTTTCTTTTAAAAACTCACCTGCAAAAGTGGGAATGTCTTTTCTCTGATTGGTTTTCCTGTGTACATTAGACACAGGCGTGGAGCGCCTGGCCCGGGGCCCTGGTGTCTTAGAGATGGGGCCGGTGTCCATTGCACTGTAGTTGCTTTGTCCCAATGTTGCACACTGTACAACCTAGACACAAAGTTGCAATACAGACTGCATAATTTGCAACACTTTCAGCCCCCAGGAGCTGGGGCGTGGGGGAGGGTGTTTTGTCTTTCAGTCTAGTTCATTGTTTCAGAGCCACTAAATAGAGAATCCCTCATGGGGGATGAAGCCCCCAAGGTGTGAGGACCCTGCATCCCCCGGGGCAGGTGGATGGGGGGGGACTCAGCCCTGTGCCTGGCGCAGAGGATTCAGCTCAGACACTCCAGGACCGAGCTGATTCTAGCGCCCTCTTCCGTGCCTCAGTTTCCCACCTATTTTTTAAAAAAATACAAAACAGGAACCTTGCGTGAGGAAGAGCTGGTTTTGTACACGTCGCCTATGTAGACACTGGTTTGGGGACTGCAAACCACAGGTGGGGACCTGTAGCTGCACAGACCGAGGCCTCAGCGCGGGGGAGGGCCCCCCTCCAGCCCCACACCCCCGGCTGGGCTGGGCTGGGCGGACCCCTATCCTGCTTAGGTGCAAGGATGCGCATGCGTATAATGCAAAGCATAGGGGCGCTCCATACAGCGGAGTGGGTGGAGGCCGGCTGCGGCGGCCTGCAGCGTGGGAAGGCGGCTCCCCGCCCCCCCAGGGGCTGTGGGCCACCTGGGTGAACCCAGGCAGGAGAAAGTGCCCTGAGACTGAGAACTGCCTGTGTAAAAAACCAGCTCCCAGCCACCGCAGGGGACGGGGTACCCTGCGTCACGAAGGAAGCAGGTTGCATTGCTGTGCACCAACCTGCCCCCCACCAACACACACACACCCCTACAACCAGCTGTCGGTGCTCTGGGAAAGCAGGGTACAGGCTTGAGGCCCCCGGGGGCTCAGCGGGCTCCCAGCTCCTGCCCTTCCCCCCCAACCCTCGTCATCCGCCCCCCTCTCTCCTCCCCAAACGCAAACACTTCTGCCTCAGCTGCCTGCTCGGGGAAATCCCTTCCCGCAGCGCGCGACCGCAGCCCAGCTGCTCCGGCCTCCCACGTCAGCGCGCTGTCAGTCACTCGCAGCCAGCCACCCCTTCTCCACCGCCGGCACTCCCTCCGGCCTTAACCCCTTCCGCTGGAGCCGCGCTTTACCGGAACGGCCCCCCACTTCACACCGCGGGGAAGGGGGTGGCGGGGACGCACCCCAGAGAAGCCAGGTGGACCGGCTAATGGGGCGGCGTGAGGGAGGATGACCTGCAGGAGGAGCTGCAACTCGGAGCTTTGCAAGTGAGGCTCCCACGGCTTATGGTGCGTGCGCCTTGACACCCCTTCCGTCTCCCACACCCCCGCTGGGGGATGAGGACAGCACTGGAGGCAGGGCCTCTCTCCAAAGCCCCAAATTCCCAGACGCCCGCATTGCAACGCTGAACCGAGCCCCCAGCCCCTGTAAGCGCCAGGTCCCGAACAACCAACCTCTAGAGACGCCCGGGGTGTGAGGGGTGATGCTGATGTCCCCGCCCCCTCGCAACCTGCAAATCAGCAAAATGATAAGACGTATTCCTGGCGTCCCCAAGCCGGTGAAGAAAGGGGGGGGGACAGTTGGAGAGCTAAGGAACGTCCTTGTATCTCAGTAAGAGTTAGGGGGATGCCCGGGTATGGGAAGGGGCCCGCTGCACAGTGTGAGCCCTGTGTGTGTGGGGTCGGAGTTCCAGAGGGGGACCCCCTCAGGCTGCAGCCTCCCCGGAGGAGGGGGAACCTCTGTGTGGCCCCATCCCCCGCCCCGTGCAGGGCTGGAAGTGGAGGCGGCGCGCGGGGACGGCCGGGGTAGATCCCCGGCGGGACCGGCTTCCCTCCCCCGGGAGCAGGAAGCCGAGCTCCGCCCCACAGACCTGTTACTGGAAGTCCGAGGGCTGGGCCGCCCCTCCCGTCCCCACTTCCTCCGGCCCCGCCCCACCCCCTGCGGCCCGCGCCTTTATGGGAACTCGGGCCTGGACGGTTTCTCTGAAATCGCGTTCGCTCCAGCTGCCCTCGCTTAACCCCGCCGCGTCCCCGCCCCCCCACCCCAAGCAGGGCGGCCCCTCCCGGAGACCCCGGCCCAGGGGCGCCCCCCTAGCCTTGGTTTTATTTTTAATTTTATTTGACTTTGCCCGGATTTGTTCCAGACCTCCTCCCCCTACACACCGCCCCCGCACAGCTCGGCAGGATAATCTCGCCCTGGCAGGTGTCAGCTGCCAAGCGCGCGCGCGCGCGCGCGCGCGGACGGGAGGGTGCCCCCAAAAAAGGCCATGTGACCTTGCCCCAGCGGCTGCTAGGAGGGGCTGCAGCCCAGGGCCCTGCTGCGCCCCTGGCCCCCTTTAGCCCGTGCTTCGCTCAGAATCCAGCACCCCTAAAGGAAGGAAATCTTGCTGGAGTCTGGGTGCACATTCCATAGTTTGGGAGAGACCCTGGCATCTAAGGTGATACCAGGCTGAGAAAGTGACTGTCCTAACGGAGTTGAAATACAGGTCAAGCTCCCACCGGTGTCCCCGCAGCCAGCAAGGCCCACCCCCATGCACTCCGCGAAGCATCTTCATCATCTTCATCCTCGCTCCCTGGTTCACTGGCCAAAGCCATGGGCCCAGGATTCCACCCGAGTCTCCCACGTGGGTGGCAGGGACCTCAGTACCTGAGTCCTCACGTGCCTATTGTGCCATGCACACGGGCAGGAAGCTAGAACTGGGACTTGAAGCCAGACCCTGCAATACGGGATGCCTCCACCCCGAAAGAGTCTTGACGGGGGTTCAGAGTGGGGCCAGGACGCCAGGTCTTCTGTATCAGTACTGAGCAGTTACCAGGTATCATCAGAAGGCTGTGCCCACCCCACACACACACACACCCAGGGACATGACCTTGGCCAGCTGAAGTTAACTCCAGACTGTGAAAGCTGACAACCACCCCGGGGAGCCGGATGAGATATGGGGCAGAGTGAGACCAAAGGGGGCTGAAGGGGGTAGGCTGAGAGTCCAGCGGGCAGAGCTGCACAGGGGTGACAGGTGGCCAGCCCTGGTGTCTGACAACCCCCTCCTGCTCCGACCGCAGGCCTCTCCACATCGCTGTGGTGCAGGGCAACCTGCCCGCAGTGCAACGGCTCATCAAACTCTTCCTGCACGGGGGCCGGGAGTTGGATATTTACAACAACATGCGCCAGGTGAGGCAGCAGCCCTGGGGGCCACTGCGGGGGGGAGGGGGGCGGCTGGAAGGAGAGAGGAACGAGAGAGAGCATGGGGCCACAGGGCAGCACAGGGGTCACTCACAGCCTGTGTCCACCACCAGACCCCGCTCCACCTAGCAGTGATCACGACGCTGCCCGCTGTGGTTCAGCTCCTGGTACTGGCCGGTGCCAGTCCCATGGCGCTGGACCGCAACGGCCAGACGGCGGCTCACCTGGCGTGCGAGCACCAGAGCCCGGCCTGCCTGCGGGCCCTCATGGACAACGCGGCGCCCGGCACGGTGGACCTGGAGGCCCGCAATTACGACGGTGAGTACCTGCCTACCTACCTAGTGCGCTGTCCGGCGGGTGGCCTACCCGAGTCACTCCCCCGGCGGCCAGGGGTCTGAGTGCGCCTCCTCGCCTTCCCCAGGGCTCACTGCCCTGCACGTGGCCGTCAACGCCGAGTGCCACGAAGCCGTGCTGTTCCTGCTGGAGCGAGGCGCGGACGTCGACGCGGTGGTGAGCCTGCGCGGTTGTGGGGCAGGGCCAGCGGTGCGCGTGCCCGGGCGGGGCGGGGCTGGCGCGTGGAGACCCTCAACGTCCACCCCCCTCCTCGCCGCAGGACATTAAGAGTGGCCGCTCCCCGCTCATCCACGCCGTGGAAAACAACAGCCTAAACATGGTGCAGCTGCTGCTGCAGGTGCGTACGACCACTTGCCCTTTGCATCTCCCCGCCAGGCCATCGCCCCTGCTCCCTCGTGCCCCACGTCCTGGCCTCTCCGACCCCACCTCGGGTCAGTCCAGCGTTGCTTGCTGTGTTTGCACCGGCCCCCAGCCTCCCCGACCCTGCACAGGTGCGGCCCATGGGCGCCGCTCCTGACCGCACGTTCTCCTCGCCCTGCAGCACGGCGCCAACGTGAACGCCCAGATGTACTCGGGCAGCTCGGCCCTGCACTCGGCGTCGGGCCGCGGGCTGCTCCCACTCGTGCGCACGCTGGTCCGCAGCGGCGCTGACAGCGGCCTCAAGAACTGCCACAACGACACGCCGCTCATGGTGGCTCGCAGCCGCCGGGTGAGTGCGCGCGCCGGGCGTGCGTCCCAGGGAAGCGCTGGGCAGGTGCACGTGCGGGCCGCCGCGAGTGTGTACCGGCCCATCCATCTCCGGGTGGGTGACCTCACCTGAAGGCTTGTTAGGGTCACTGCGGACAGGACCCCTGAGCCAGGAGGGGCTCTGAAACCACGGCTGTCCCCGGTGACCTCCCTTCCCCATGGGTCCCCAGGTCATCGACATCCTGAGGGGGAAGGCCACCCGGGCTGCGTCCTCGTCCCAGCGCGACCCCTCCCCGGACCGCAGTGCCACCACCTCCCCTGAGGGCAGCAGCCGTCTCAGCTCCAATGGTGAGGAGCTCCGGGGGTCTCCTGCCGGCCTGGGCCCACAACCCCGCCCCCTCTTTCCTCCGGATCCGGCTGACTCTGGCTTTTTCCATCACCCCCGCAGGTCTCCTCTCCACCTCCCCGTCCTCCTCGCCCTCCCAGTCTCCCTCCAAGGACCTCCCTGGATTTCCCATGGCTCCCCAGAACTTCTTCCTGCCCTCACCGTCCCCCAATGCCTTCCTACCCTTCCCAGGGGTTCTCCGAGGCCCTGTCCTGCCAGTGCCCCCCGCCCCAGCTCCAGGAGGCAGCTGAAAGGGGAGGGGGGCTGATCTCTGACTCATGAGGACTCGGGACCCCACACCCCACCCCGTGTGTGGCTCGGTCGGTGGGGTGACCCTTCTGGAAACTGTGAAGATCTTGGAGCCCAGCTCCCACCAGGGAGGTCTCCTGGACCAGAACTGGCACCCAGGCACAGGCCACAATGCAAGGGCCCCTTGTAGGCACTGGGTCTCTGGCTCACCTCTGTCGGCCAGTCCAGGGCTCTGCCTGGCTGCCCTCAGGCCACACCCTGGAAGACCTCCACCCGGATTCGGGTCTCCTTGGACTCCTGCAGAGGTAGGAGAGTCCCCCCAGGGAGGGCGGGGGGACAGGAGCTCCCTGCCACCCTCAGCTGAGGTGGAGGGCGAGCGGAGGGGAGCAGAGAGAGGAGGCAGGCACTGATGACTATGTAAATTATTAGGCATTTGGGTTGGATTTCTTTTGTAATAAACTATTTTTGTACCATACCCTGTGCTTGACTGGGCCTTTAAGACAAGAGGGCCTGCGCGAGGCGCGCGCGCACGGGCGCGCGCGCGCGTGTGTGTGTGTGTGTGTGTGTGTGCGCGCGCGCGTGCGTGCACCTGTTGACCGACCACGGGGGTGGTGGCTGATTCGGGGAGGTTTGTGACATCACTGTGCCAGTTGGCCTGGGTATGATTCGGGGTGTGTGCGTGTAACATCTTTCCCGTGCCCCTGGGGGCACACATCCTGGGGTAACCCTCAGCGTGGGCAGCTGTGGTGGCAGTGCCTGTGACCAGCTCTGACGTGACACCCAGCGTTGTGGGAGGGCAATTCCTCTGCCACTGCATCATGTGCTGCAATGCACCCCAGATGTCCCTCACGGCTCCGGAGGGGCCGTGAGGGGCAGCAAAGCCAGGTGTTTCTCATGGACGGCAGGAAACAACTTCAGCTGCCAGCACCCTGCCTCCTCGGCCCCGGTCAGCAGGAAGCGGGGGTACCGAGCCACACCCCGGGTCTGGGGGTCTGGGTAGCCTGCCTTCAGGGATTGTGCCTCCTGCCGGCCTGCAGCAAACCATGGCAAACCCAGTGTTTCAACCCGGGTTCAAGGTGTTGGGGGGATGCAGGCTCCCCGGGAGGTGACAGGACAGCCATTCCTTCCCAGAGTCCCTCCTTCCGCTTCTCAGCTTCTGGCGGGTTAGGGTCCACCCAGGGGACCCCCAACTGGCTCCTCCCTCCCAAGGCCTCCATTGCACCTGCCCAGTCCCTCCGTGCACCGGTGCCACTGCCTCTCAGACTCCTGCAGGGAGGGGGGGGGGAACCAGATGCAGATCTGGGGTGCAGGGTCCTCAACAGTCCAAGAAACAATGGGACAGGGAGGTCCCCAGATCTGGGCTGACCTAGTGCGACCCAAGGCAAAGGGGCGTGTGGGGGACACAGGGGACCCGGGTCCCACTCCACTGGTCTGGCTGAGTGGCCATGTGCATGGTTCTGCAGGCCTCAGGGACAGTGGGGTGACCATTTTCACACCAAGATACCACAGTGTGTGTGTGGTGTGGCTGTGGGCTCAGCTGCCTTCCTAACCTGCTGGGTGACCCTAAGGGGACCAGGGATGGACTGTGTATGTGTGTAGTTCCAGGGAAGCCCTGGCCAGGTGATGGGCCTGCCTCCTGACCAGGGTGGCCGCAGGGCCCTGTATGTGTATGCCACCAAGTGTCAACGTCCCTGACCTGCCTCTGGGGATTGGGGTTTCTGAGAGCACCCTAACTCAGAGGTGCCTACTTCCTGTGACAGTTTAGAAAACTCGCCACACACCAGGGTGGCTTCAGACCAGAGGCGTCCATCACCTCACAGCGCTGGGGGTTGACGGCGGAGATACAGATGTCCCCAGGCCCATGTTTCTGCAGACGGCCATCTTCCAAGGCTTCTAGAAGTTTCCATTGGCTGCAGGTCATCCCTGCCAGCTGCTGGCCTTCCCCTCCGGCCTCCACCCGCAGCTTCATTGGCCTCCTTCTCCAGGACAACCTCCTGAACTTTCTGATACCTGGGAATTTACCTCCAAGTGCAGCCACACACTTAGGTCCCAGGGGTTAGAATTTTCATTGCCAGGCCCAGCATAACAACTCAACAGCTAAATCCTCTTGCAAATGCCAGGACCTCATGTGGGCACTGGTTCATGTCCCAACTGTTCCACTTCCCATCCAGCTCCCTGCTTGTGGCCTAAGAAAGCAGTGAAGGACGGCCCAAAGCCTTGGGACCCTGCACCTGTGTGGGAGACCTGGAAGAAACTCCTGGCTTCAGATTGGCTCTGCTCTAGCCGTTGTGGCCACTTGGAGAATGAACCAGTGGATATAAGATCTTTCTCTCCTTCTCTCCATAAATCTGATGTGCCTTTCCAATAAAATAAGCAAATCCTTATATATATATTTTTTTTCTTTTTTTTCTGTGTATGTGAGTGGGTACACTCCTTACATATTTGCCATCCAGTTCTCCCACTTGACTGGCAGGGACCCCAGTCCTCACGCCACTGCTGCAGCCCACCGGGGTGCACCACCAGCAGGCAGCCGGAGGCAGGAGCCAGAGCTGGGACTTGAACCAAATGCTCTGATAAGGGACGGTGGGGGGGGCGGAGGGCTGTATAGCTAGGCTCAGCGCCCACCCCCCACCAAGGGAGCCACCACTAAGCCCACTCCTAAGGGTGACACTGGGTATGTGTGACCCTCACGTGATCATCCTAGCACGCACATGTGTGCGGCAGACATGCCAGCCTCGACCGCACCCTGGCCGCAGGGCAGAGCCCACAGCCCAGGCCCCAGCCCAGCCCCTTGCACTATGGTAGCTGCAGCTCATTCTTTGTGGCCGAGTCTAGGCTCGTGTCCCCGTGTGACCAATCTGGGGACATGAACAAGAAACACGTACATGTCTTAGGCAACACTGGGCACGAGAACTGTTCGCTGCAGACAAGGAAGTTGGGGTTCAGACAGAGCAGAGGGCCTGTCCAAACCCAGGGCAGTGACCTCCAGACACTCACAAATATCTACCATTCTTTTTTTTTTTCTTTTAAAGATTTATTTTTATTGGGAATGCAGAGTACAGAGAGGAGAAACAGAAAGATCTTCTATCCGCTGGTTCACTCACCAAGTAGACATAACAGCTGGAGCTGAGCTGATCCAAAGCCAGGAGCCAGGAGCTCCCTCTGGGTCTCCCACACGGATGCAGGGTCCCAAGGCTTTGGGCCGTCCTTGACTGCTTTTCCAGGCCACAGGCAGGGAGCTAGATGGGAAATGGAGCAGCTGGGACATGAACCGGCACCCATACAGGCTCCCGAAGCTTGAAAAAGAAGGATTAGCCAATTGAGCCACCACACCAGGCCCAGAATTCTAAGAGTACAAGCAGAAGTGTGTGCCTGGGAAGCTGGGGTTCAGCTGCTGCTTGCAAGACTGACAGCCACCGTTGGAGCATCAGTTCCAGTCCCACGTGGACACAGGGGCCCACACCTTCAGGCCACCTTCAGCTGCACTTCCCAGACCATCAGCAGGGAGCCAGGTGAGAAGTGGGGCAGCAGGGACTCAAACCCATGCCAATGGGATGCCAGTGTGACCTGCTCAGCCACCATGCCAACCCCGAGAGAATGACTATTGCGGGTCACCATACTGTGCCATTAAACGACCCCGACCCTCCACTTCGTCCTCTGCATACTGGGAAGGACACCCACCCGGGGGCCTGGCCCACAGCGCACCCTGATGCCCCGTGCCTGCAGGGGCCGAGTTCCCACACGTGTGAGAGACCGGGCCTGGGTCTGGGAGCCAAGTGAGTGCGGCACCAGCCGTGGTGAGCTACTTCTCTAAAACCCCACGACCCGGCTTCTCCACACACGGAAATCCCCTCTCGGCCTCCCAGGCCTCGGGACCCAACGTGTGGCCCCCTGCCCCACCCCTGCACAGAGGTGGATGCCAGTGAGGGGACAGGAGCCGCTGCCCACAGCCCTCCACCTGCACGGACACAGAGGGGGCCTGAGGCCCAGACAGGCAGCAGGCCTCACCCTGGGATTTCGTGAAGTACCATAAACCCACGGGAGGAGGAGGAGAAGACCCCCAGGGCGTGCCTCCTGCTGCACAGGACTGAGAGGCTCCCAGCGTGGGCATGGCCTGTCACAGAGCCGGCCTGCGGGCTCCATCCCCAGGCCAGGCCAGGCGGTGGCCCACAGGGACCAGCTGAGATGCCACGGCTCTGGACCGGATGCCCAGCTCTGGCTTCCTGGAGCCAGTGTCCTGCCCCTGCAGACCGCAAATGCAGGTACAGCCATCCCTGCCTCCCGGCGACAGGCTGTTCTGCTCCCCTCCCTGCCTCGTGGGCATCTGTGCTGTACGTCTCCACACAGGAACTCTCTCTGGCATGCACGCCCTCTGTCTCTCAAATTTCAGGGGGAAAAAGGTTAATATCATGAAAAGCAAAGACCAGATGGAGAGAGTGGGCCTGGCTGGAGGAAACGAAGAGCAGTGAGCATCCAGCGCCATCTGCAATGTCGGTTCAGCTCTGGACTGCACAGCCTGGGCCTCCCAGCCGGTGCACGCGGGCTGCCCCTGCAGACCCCGGCCTTGCCTGGCCGCTAAGCGTCCCCCAGTCACAGGGCACAGTGGCCGAGAGCAGGGAGGGAGGCCCAGCCGGAGGACTTCCAGGCCCAGTGGCAGAATGTCTGCACGTCACTCGGCAATGGTTCCAAGGGTGCGATTTGGCATGCTGCCCACGAAGCCTGACCCTGGGGGACGGATGGGTCCACAACACATGTAACACTTCTCACAAATCGAAAAGCATTCAAAAAGTGATCCCCCCCCCCCAAAAAAAAAAATTCAAATTAGACGTGCACAATCCTAAAGGGTCTCCATCCGCATCTGGGAGTTTGCAATTTTGGGAGCTGGACTCACAGCCTCGGGGGTGTGGCCAGGGCTGGGGGTGTGGCCAACGTCTAAGGGGCGGGGCCAGCGCCCCGGAGGCGTGGCCATGTGCTGGGGGTGTGGTCAGAGAAAACAGCCAAGGGACAAGCCTGTGTTCAGCGCGCCCTCTTGTGGCCGCATCAGGTCTCGCCACCACTTTTTCTTGGACGACTTGAAGGGAGGCGTACAGCCCTTTTGACAACTTTTAAACCTTTCCAGTAAACAAGAGCAGAAACAGAATTATGACGTCAGCGCAAGACTCCACCTTAGCACGTGACTGGTTTCCTGCATCCAGCACAGCGTTTGGCAGGGACAGCCAGTGTGTAGGATGCCCTGTGTCAGTCCACACTTCTTTATCCTGGCCCCAAGTGTGAGACATGGAGGCTATTTCCAGGAGCCTTTGGGCGGCTAAGTTTTCAATTTTCTGGAAGATACATGCTCTCAAGTGTACCTTTTCACAAAAGTTTGCTATTAATATTGAAAGGCAAAAAGAGATGGGCCTGGCGCGATACCGTGGTGCTTAAAGTCCTCGCCTTGCACGCGCTCGGATCCCATGTGGTCGCCGGTTCCAATCCTGGCAGCCCCGCTTCCCATCCAGCTCCCTGCTTGTGGCCTGGGAAAGCAGTGGAGGACAGCCCAAAGCCTTGGGACCCTGCATCCGCGTGGGAGACCCAGAAGAGCTCCTGGCTCCTGGATCAGATTGGCTCAGCTGCAGCCGTTGCGGCCGCTTGGAGAGTGAACCATCAGATGGAAGATCTTCCTATCTTTCCTTCTTTCTGTCTATCTGACTTTCCAATAAAAATAAATAAATCTTAAAAAAACACACAGGTGGATGCCGCAGAAAGTCAGTGAGCATTGCAGTGCGTTAGGGCAGCGAGAACTGGCAGCTCAGAAACGCTGTGGAGGAGGGCTGCTGGGAAGACAGACGGCGACAGGTGTTGGCAGGCCCAGAGCACTCAGAACCCCGGTGCCCGGCTGGCACGACATACGCTGGCACAGCTGGTCTGCAGAACCATTCGGCAGCTCCTCGGAGTGCTCTGCTTTCCGCCTCCTGGCTAACGGGCACCCGGGAGGCAGCAGGTGCTCGCTCGAGCACGTGGGTCCCTGCCACCTGCTTGAGTGCACCGCATCCCGTTCCTGCTTCCTGGCTTTGGCCCAGCCCACAATGTGGCTGTTGAGGGCACTGCTTTCCCAGGCCAGAGGCAGGGAGCTGGATGGGAAGAGGAGCAGCCAGCACATGAACAGGTGCCCACATGCAATCCTGGCGCTTGAAGCGGAGTATAACCTGTTGAGCTACAGTGCCAGCCCCTAGATCATTCTTTTTGGATTTATCTACTTACTTATTTGCTCCCCGGGCTCCCTGCCCCTCCTCCCGTCCCACAGCTTGCTTGCCTGGCCCCACGGGGGGCAGGTGCAGTGGCCCAGGTAGCACCCCACTTCACCCATCTCCCACAGCACTCACTACCCCCAGCGCCCCCGACCCCGGAACCCCTCAGCATCCTGCACACACTAACCTTCCCTGTAGCGAAATCGGATGAGCTAGGTGCCATCCATGGGTGCACGCGGGGCCACACAGCTCAGGTGCTTCCCAGGCCGGGCCGCCGCAGGCACCGAGTGTGCTGCTCCTCCGCACCCCTGTACCCCTGTGCACCTGCCCACCCACACCCGGAGGAGGCCACCCCTTCCTCCGCACCCCTGTACCCCTGTGCACCTGCCCACCCACACCCGGAGGAGGCCACCCCTTCCTCCGCACCCCTGTACCCCTGTGCACCTGCCCACCCCACACCCGGAGGCTGCAGAGGAAGCCCTGCTGGGCGGGTTGGCTCCCTGCTTCCCAGCGAGGCGCAGACCCCGCAGACCCCAGCAGGCTCCCAGTACGGTCCCCACGCGCGAAGCTGCCACGGGCCCAGGAGCGGGGAGTTAGAGGGGCGGAGCAAATGTGCGTCATGTCGGACCCACGGGGACTGGCACGGAACCAAGGTTCCCTAAGGACGGCTACCTGTTCCTGCGAATTCGCCGGCGCCTGCGCACAAGCGCCTGACGGGCCTCCCGGGGGCGGGGCCAGCAGCCTGGGGCGGGGCCTGAGGGCCGGAGGCGGGGCCTGAGCTGGAGGAGGTGGTGCCTGATCACTGGAGGCGGGGCCAGCAGCCTGGGGCGGAGCCTGGAAGCCAGGGGCGGGGCCTGGGCTGGAGGGGGTGGTGCCTGACCACTGGAGGCGGGGCCAGCAGCCTGGGGCGGAGCCTGAGGGCCAGAGGCGGGGCCTGGGGGGCCTGGGTGTCTAGCGGCCCTGGAAGTGCATTCCCACAGCGCCCCCGCGTGGCCGCCCCGCGCACAGCCCCGACGGCGCCGGAGCCGCAGGTCCTGCAGGTGCCAGGGATCCAGCAGGGCTGCCCGCGGTGCGCTGAGCGGCCGTGCCCGGCCTCGCCAGCCTCTAGAGACCCTTCATGCCAGGCCGCGACCGCATGCAAGCAGCGCGGGCCGGACCCCATGCAAGCAGCGCGGGCCGCAGTCCCAGTGTTGCACCTGCCCGTCCCACCCCATCTCGAGCCCACAGCCGCACACACACGAGCCGCTGGGCACCAGACTTCCGTACCTGTCCGGGTAGGAGCCCCGGGCCGCAGGTGCCCCGGCCCCGCCCCTGCCGGGACTCAGGTGCCCGCCCCGGCCCGCCTCCCGCCTGCGCCCGGCCGCACCCAGCCGTCCCTGCGCTCCCGGGGGACCCATGGCTGCGGCGGCGGCCCCGCGCCGGTGGCAGTGGGCAGAGCCCCGCGCGCTCGGCCGCGCCGTCAGGCTGCTGCAGCGCCTGCAAGAGCAGTGCGAAGACCCCCGGCTGTCCCTCAGTCCCCCCTCGCTGCGGGACCTGCTGCCCCGCACGGCGCAGTTACTCGGAGAAGTGGCCAAAGCCCGACGGGCGGCCGGCGGGGACGGCCCCGCGGGAGACTTCCTCGTCGTCTACCTGGACAACCTGGAGGCCAAGGTCAAGCAGGTGGCGGCGCTGCTGCCGCCCCCAGGACGGAGGGATGCCAACGACGAGCTCTTCCGGGAGGGTTCTAGACTCAGGTGAGCAGCTGCACTGCCGACGGGGCGGGGTCCCCCCCACCAGAAGTCCTACCTCCGACCAGGGACCCCGATTTCTGGCTCTCCAACCGAGGTCCCCCCGCAGCCCTCCTCCCTCCCACCGGGAGTCCTCCCACAGCCCTCTGACCACAGGTCCAAGTCCCCAGCCCCTCCTCCCTCGGACCCAGGGATCCAAGTCCCCAGCACCGCCTCCCTTGGACACAGAGATCCAAGTCCCCAGCACCGTTCCCTCACACCCAGGGGTCCAGACCCTCCTCCCTCACACCAGGGGTCCAGACCCTCCTCCCGCACACCCAGGGGTCCAGCCCCTCCTCCCTCACACCCAGGGGTCCAGACCCTCCTCCCGCACACCCAGGGGTCCAGACCCTCCTCCCGCACACCCAGGGGGCCAGCCCCTCCTCCCTCACACCAGGGGTCCAGCCCAGGCTCTCCTCCCTCACACCCAGGGCTCCAGCCCCTCCTCCCTCACACCAGGGTTCCAGACCCTCCTCCCTCACACCAGGGGTCCAGACCCTCCTCCCTCACACCCAGGGGTCCAGCCCCTCCTCCCTCACACCAGGGGTCCAGACCCTCCTCCCGCACACCCAGGGGTCCAGCCCCTCCTCCCTCACACCAGGGGTCCAGACCCTCCTCCCTCACACCAGGGGTCCAGACCCTCCTCCCTCACACCAGGGGTCCAGCCCCTCCTCCCTCACATCCAGGGCTCCAGCCCAGGCTCTCCTCCCTCACACCCAGGGCTCCAGCCCCAGCCTCTGTTCCCTGAGGACTGGACCGCAGTGTTTTGCTGCCTTGGACCACCCCTGCTCTCCACCCACTTTGCCCCTCTGCTGGTTCCCCCAGCAGCCAGCTCCCCACACCACAGTCTCTCGGGCACCCTGAGCTTCCAACCTGAAGGGGTGGTGAGCTCCAGGGCTGATCCGGCCCTGGCTCTTTAGCGAGTGTGCTGTGGGGTCCCCCAGGTCCCCCAGACATGAAGCGTGTAGGCTTCACAGCCTGCCCACCGGGACTGTGTCATCATGAGGCTCACATTGCAATGAGGCTAGGCCAACCGGGAACTGAAGGGGAAGCTTATTTTAGTGTCAATAATAATAATAACTGAAAGCCAGAGGGTACAACTGGGCTCAGTACCAAATGACTCTAGACAGACTCTGCCCACACAAACGCCCGATGGCTGAATATTGTGCAGTGAGCTGACTGTCTTCCCGTGACAGACCCACGCCACTGCACCAGTGGTAGGGGCCAAGCACGTTTCCAGAGACATCACTGCATAGATACGCTGTGCCCGCTTCACGAGCACGGGGCTTCTGTGTGTCCTGCCAGTCCTGGCGCTGCACCTGCCGTGCCAGCCCCTCCCACTGTCGCACACTCCCAGAGGCTTCTAGAAACTACTTGGAGGTTCCAGACATTCCAACTCCCCAAAAGTTTCATGCAGGCTACTGGTCAGTTTTTAATTCTCTGGCTAAACTATAAAAACAAATAGCAATGGAATTTCAATAACTTTTTATTTGTTTTTGTTGGACAGTTCTATTTACAGAGAGAAGGAGAGATAGAGATCAAAATCTTCCACCCGCTGATTCCCTCCCCAAGTGGCCACAATGGCCAGAGCTGAGCCTATTCGAAGCCAGGAGCCAGAAGCTTCCTCTGGGTCTCCCACGTGGGTGCAGGGTCCCAAGGCTTTGGGCCGTCCTACACTGCTTTCCCAGGTCACAAGCAGGGAGCTGGATGGGAAGTGGGGCCTCCAGGATTAGAACCGGTGCCCATGTGGGATCCCAGCAGATCAGCCAGCCAAGCCAGCCGAGCCACTGCACCAGGCCGAGCTCTGACATCCTCAGATTCTCATCTCCAACACACTGATTTGCTTTGTGATCAGTATAAAGCCATTATAGCTCACTTAAAAAAATAAAAAAGTCTTTCTACCAAGTTTGGAAATCTATATACTTCTCAAAGTGTTTCTGCCTTGGCCCCGCCAGCTAGGGAGAGCAAGCACAGTTCTGTCACACAGCTGGGGCTCCTGGGACGTGAGGCTGCTTAGCAACTTCCAGGAACCCTGCATCGCTGGCCCCAGGAGCTATTAATAGCAAATAAGAACACAGCCATGAGATTAGCTCCCCCAGGTGCCAACTCCACGCCCGAGGCTCACACTTGGCCTGTGAGGCACACGTACCTTTAAAAGTCTCAGGAGAGAGCCCACCGCAGTAGCCTAGTGGCTAAATCCTAGCCTTACATCTACCAGGAGCCCATAGTGGTGCCAATTCGTATCCCAGCTGCTCCATTTCCCATCCAGCTCCCTGCTTGTGGTCTGGGAAAGCAATGGAGGACGGCCCAAAGCCTTGGGACCCTGCACCCATGTGGGAGACCCAGAAAAAGCTCCTGGCTCCTGGCTTCAAATCGGCTCAGCTCCAGCCATTGTGGCCACTTGGGGAGTGAACTAGTGGGTAGACAATCTTTTCTCTCTGTCTCTCCTTCTCTCTGTAACTCTAACTTTCCAATACAAAATTAAAACTAAATCTTTTAAAAATTTTAAAGATACAACATAAATATGAGTCCCAGGAAACATGGAATGAAGACATTAGTTCATTTTGTAAAGAGAAAAAAAAAATCCCAAATCTTGAACCCCGTAGTGATTTTGCAAAACCCATTTTCCAGGAACTTTTTGAAGAACCATCATATTTATCCATAGATTTCAAAATTTTTTTGTCACCAAAATAAAATGACTTTTTGAAAAACAAAATGCTTGCTTATGTATCTGAAAGGCAGCGTGAGGTCTCCCATCCACTGGTTCGTTCTCCCAGTACATGCAACAGCCAGGAGCCAGGAGCCCCATCTGGGTCTCCCATGTGGCTGCTGGTGACCCACATACCTGAGCCCTCACCGACCACCTCCCAGGTGTGTAAGGCAGAAGCTTCGTCAGAAGGGGAGCAGCCAGGACCGAACCAGGCACTCCAGCGTGGGACACAGTCATCCTACACAGCGGCCTAACCCCTGCCCCACAGTACCCACCCCAAGCTTACCTTTTTGCCAAAAAAAAAAAAAATTTTTTTTCACGCATTTGAGTCAGAATTCACTCCCCTAAAAACACCCACAGCGGCTGCAGCTGAGTCACAGCCAAAGACAAAAGCGAGGGAGCCGCCCAGGTCTCCCCCACAAACGTGCACCTGAGCCATCAACACCGCCTCGTGGGGTCAGCCACGGCGGGGACCTGGGAGCAGAGCAAGGGCTGCCCACCACCTGGCCACGCCCCTCCCGACCACCCGGCCACGCCCCCTCCCGGGGTCTCCGTCCTCAGCTGCCTCATGTGCAGGGAGATGCAAAAGGCGCCTGGCCAAGGGGCCAGCGTGGGGGCAGAGTGAGCTAATCCTCCACCTTGGGGTGCCAGCATCGCATATGGGCGCCAGTTCCAGTCCCAGCTGCTCCCCTTCCCATGCAGCTCCCTGCTAATGGTCTGGGAAAGCAGTAGAGGACACCCCAAAGCCTTGAAACCCTGCATCCACATGGGAGACCCAGAAAAAGCTCCTGGCTCCCGGCTTTGGATCAGCTCAGCTGTGGTTGTTGTGGCTACATAAGGAATGAACCAGCGGATGGAAGATCTTTCTGTCTCTCTTTCTCTCTGTAAATCTGCCTTTCTAATACAAATAAAGAAATCTTTAAAAATTAAAAACGCTTGGGGAAAACTGCTCTTTTGTCTCCATCACTAACTCAGGAGAGTTCGAGAAATTGGCCCTGGAATCTCCTCCAGGGGGAGGGAGGTAGGGGCACCTATGGGAGCCACGCCGTCCAGCCCTGGTCTTCCTCACCCGCAGGCGACAGCTGGCCAAACTGGCCCTCATCTTCAGTCACATGCACGCCGAGCTGGGTGCACTCTTCCCCAGGGGCAAGTACTGTGGACACGAGTACCAGCTGGCCAAGGCCCCGGCCCAGGCCTTGTGGCGGGAGCACTGTGGAGCCCGGTGAGTGAGCCCCTGCCCCGGTCGGGCTGCAGCCCCCAGCCGAGCCACCTCCCCCCGGTCGCCCCACCATCTGCGCCAACAGAGGCCTCAGCTGTGCCCCCCCACTCCCACCCTGGACCCCAACAGGTGCGTGCTGCCCTGGGCTGAGTTCGAGATGATGCTGGGGAAATGCCACCCGGTGGAGGCCGGCCCCATGGCCCTGGCCCTGCGCTCCACTGTGGACCTCACTTGCAGCGGCCACGTGTCCATCTTTGAGTTTGACATCTTTACGAGGCTGTTCCAGGTCAGGAAGGATGCCAGGATGGAGACAGTATCTCCAAGTGTGAGGGAGGAGGGGCTGGGGTTGGACCCCTGGGTGTGAGGGAGGAGGGGCTGGGGACTGAGTCCTGGGGCAGGAAGGGCTGGACTCTTCCTGGTCAGATGTGTGCGGCTGTGCCTGAAGAGGCTCTCGGGATGCCAGCTGCCCCCCCCCAGGACCCTGCCTGACCCCTGCCCTGCCCCACTCCTCCCTTCCCCAGCCATGGCCGACTTTGCTCAAAAACTGGCAGCTGCTGGCAGTCAACCATCCGGGCTACATGGCCTTCCTCACGTATGACGAGGTGCAAGCCCGCCTGCAGGCCTGCAGAGACAAGCCGGGCAGGTAACCCCCAGCTCTAGGGGGCGTGGGGCAGGCCAGGGGGAGCTGGCATCTCCCACGGGCCCCAGGACCCCACCCCCAGTTGGAGTTCTCCAAACCAGGGGCTTGGAACCAGAGCCGCCCCTCCTACCACAGACCGTCCGCAAGGGTTAATAATTGAGGAGCTAAGCTACTTGGCCCTGGGACTAAGAACAGTCCTGTGTGTGCAAACCCCGGCGGTGGGGAGCAAGCGGTGCTGGTGTCAATGAGCGGCATAGGTGGACATGGCAGGCAGGGACCCAGCACCTGCACCTCACTTCCAGCTCCGTGGCGGCAGGCAGGGTGGACATCAGTGGGTGGCCATGTCCTCACCACGTCCCTCCTGCCGCCCCTTCCAGCTACATCTTCCGGCCAAGCTGCACGCGCTTGGGACAATGGGCCGTCGGCTACGTGAGCTCCGACGGCAGCATCGTGCAGACCATCGCTTCCAACAAGCCCCTATTCCAGGTGCTCCTGAAAGGCCAGAAGGACGGCATGTGAGTCCCCATGCGGCTGGGGGAGGGTCCGCGGGGGCGGCTGCTGTGTGCAAGACCTTGGGAACCTGCCATGCTGCGGCCTTCCAGCAGGGGGCAGGCAAAGGTCTGAGAGAGTGTGTCCCTGCAGATCCCATGCCGATTCTCCCAAATAGAGGGGTCTAGGGGTTCCACCGCCCCCTCCGACCCCCTTCTACATGTCACCTGCCATTCTAGATTCTGGGAGCCCAAAAGAGAAGAGGGGGACCAGCCAGATAGGTGGTGTTCGGTCTGGATCCTGGCCACCCCAGGGCACTCTTCCACAAGCTGCCTTGGAAGGTGGGGGCAGCGGCAGGTCAGGTTTGAGGTTCTCACCTTTTAGGGAAAAAAAAAAAACTATTTATTTGAAAATCAAAGTTACAGGGGCTGATGTGGCATGTCAGGTAAAGCCACTGGCTTCAGTGCCCGCATTCCATACCGGGTGCAAGTTCCAGTCTCGGTTGTTCCACTTCTAGTCCAGCTCTCTGCTGACGCCCCTGGGACAACAGCAGAAAATGGGCCACGCGCTGGGGCTCCTGCAGCCACATGGGAGACCGGCATGAAGCTCCTGCATCCTGGCTGTGGCCTGGGCCAGGGGAGTGAACCCGAGGACAGATCTCTCTCTCTCTTTTCTCTCTGTATAATTCTGACTTTCAAATAAATAAATCTTTAAAATAAAGACAGAGAAAATCCACCGATTCACTCCCCGATTTGCCGCACTGGCAAAGCCACAAGGCAGGAGCTTCTGCTGGGTCTCCCACGTGCGTGCGGGGACTCGGGCACCTGGGCCGCTCTCTGCTGCTTTCCCAGGCGCGTTAGCAGGGAGCAGGATTGAAAGTGGCACAGCCAGGACTTGAACCTGTGCCCATGTGGGATGCCGGCCTCACAAGGGAGAGAGCTTAACTCCCAATGCCACAACGCCAGCCCTGTGTATTCCTTATTTTAATTTCTTAGTCACGACACTTTAGCCAGCCTGTCACTGTTGGTGCCTGTTTTCATTTCAAAACACATGAACACGTGCTGTTGGTTCTTTCCCACGGGACTCGTGGCCAGCAGCGCGCTATCACTCTGGCCCGTAGGAAGCTGGCACGGCTGGTCCCACCCTGAGCCATCACACCGCGGTCTTCCCTGAGCCTGCCCTTCAGTGCCATGTTCCAGGGCTTATCTCCCACCCACCCACCTCCCCCACACACATGCACTGTTTTGAGACGCAGAGAAAGATACAAAGAAAGATCCAGCATCAACTGATCTGTTCCCAAAATGCCCGTGACTGTTGGGGTTGATCTAGGACCAAAGCCAGGATGCAGCACCTCCATCAGGGCCTCTCACAGGGGTGCCAGGGACCCAAGCCCTCGGGCTATCCCTCTGCTGCTTTCCCAGGCACATTAGCAGGGGGCTGCATTGGAAGTGGAGCAGCTGAGGCTTGAACTGGTGCCCTCCTGGGATGCTGGGTTTGTAGGTGGTAGCTTACAGCACAACACTGGCCCAGTGGTGCCCTCCCTGGGTCCCATCTTTGTGGTGTTCACCACCACTCCCTCTGTGGGCATGATTAAATCTATCCTACAGGAGGGAAGCATGCCAAAGAGGTGGTATGGTGGAGGGTCGGGGCAGGTCAGGGACTGTGCTTCTCTGGGTGGCTTGCCAGGCGGGGCCACTACCCCCAGGGGGCCTGTGAGACTGTAGTAAAGGGCGGAAGGAAGACACCCCCGACCCCCAAGCTGTTGCCCTGGCTGCCCTGGGGTCCTAGGCAGAGACCTTGCTCCAGCCTGCGCCTTCCCCGTAACTGTGACCTTGGACACTGGACTCCTGTTCCCTGAGCCTTGGGTCACTGTAACGGAGCTGGACATTCGGAACCATAGCTAAGTGGCCATCCAAGAGACCTGCATCCTGTCTGTGAGGGCTGGCGTTGGAGTGGGGCCTCCACCTCCGGTCCCACTGCCTACTAGTGCACACACTGGGAGGAGCAGCTGGTGGTTCCAGGACTTGACTCCCCGCTTCTGGCTGCAGCTCAGAGCTTCCCACTGTACTCGGTCCAGCCCCAGCTGCTGCAGGCACTGGGAGAGTGGACCAGCAGGTGCAGCTACCTCACCTGTCCTCTCTCTCCACTTCTCTATACCTTTCCAACAGCAGTAACAACAACAATTATATATAATAAAATTAAATCCGCTATGCTCAGGTCTGACTGAAAAGTGAGACTCTAAGGCCAGTGCAGTGGCACAGCTGGTTAAGCCACGCCTTGCACACCCACATCCCCCACTGCAAAGCCCGGGATCAAATCCTGTCCCTGCTTCCCAGCCTGCTTCCTCCTAAGGTGCCTGTGGGGGAAGGAGGGGATGTAACAGCTGTTGACTGGAGCATTTGGGTCCCTGCCTCCCATGTGAGAGATCTGGGCAGAGCTCCAGGGCCCCAGCTGTGGCCTGGGCCCAGTCCTGGCTGTTGCAGACCAGTGGGGGGGAGTGACTTAGTGGATGGAAGCTCTTGCTCTTTCCTTTAAAGAAATAAAATAACTAATTTTGCAAGGCCAGAAAGAAGGGCACAGCAGGAGACTGGAGTTCCCTAGTTCTCCTTCCAGCTGACCCCCCTCCCGGTGCGGTGCCTGAGTCATATAGATTCAGTGTCACCAGCTTGGGAGGCATCTGGGGTGGAGGTGGGGGACACAGCCTGCCCTGAACAGTCCCAATGTGAGAAGGAAAGGAAGAAAAAATCTGCCCCCAGCCCAGCCATGGGCACCAGGGGGTCCTAGGACAGGAAGGGATGACCCCCCCATCACTCTCCACCCTGCCCCCTCAAACCTCCAGGTACCTGTACCCTGACGGGAGGAACCACAACCCTGACCTGAGTGAGCTCTGCCAGACAGAGCCCCACCAGCGCATCCACGTGTCCCAGGTGAGGCCCTGCCCATTGCCCACCCATCCTGCCACACACACCCGGCCGCCCCACCAACTTGGCCTTGGCTCACAGCACTGGCTGGGCAGCTGGGCCACCGAGTATACTCCTTGGCCTCTCTGAGCCTACATCACCTTCGGACTCCTGCCTCCCCCGCAGGGGCCACCGTGGGGATCAAACCAGGAAATGCTGCTGAGTGAGGTCATGGAGCAGCTAATGCACTTGGGCGTGGTCAAGGACAGCTCTGTCCCGTGCCAGCTCTCAGTCTCCATGGCCACTCCAGGGACGGGGTGGGGAGGGGGAGAGAAAAACAACAGAAGTCCGTCCCAGGTGCTGGTGGGGCTACACCTAAACTCTAATGGCTAATGCAGACCTCAGTGGACAGCTGGTATTCCTATCTCCGATAGCCGGCCACCCTGAGCGCAGACAAGCCCAGCCAGAGATGGTCGGACACCCCGGCTTTGAACCTGGGTGAGGGCTCAGAGCTGGCAACGGACTCACTTCCTGGGTGCTGCTGAGCACTGCTCCCCACTCCACCCTCCTGGCTGTACCCCACCCACTTCTCCTCAGGAGCAGCTGCAGCTGTACTGGGCCATGGACTCCACCTTTGAGCTCTGCAAGATCTGCACCGAGAGAGACAAGGATGTGAGGATTGAGCCATGCGGCCACCTGCTCTGCAGCCACTGCCTAGCTGCCTGGCAGGTGCGCCTGGCGCCCGCCCCGCCCTCCCACCAAGCTCCCTTTAAGGGTCTCCCGCTGGTCAGATCCAGCATTTCACTGGGAGACAGGCACCTGCTCGGGATGGAGCAGCAATGGGGCTGGTGCCCGTAACCGCCCAGGGGCGGCAGCGGGTTGGGGGGACAGCAAGATTTCTTGCCACTTCCATCCCCCCTTGCTTCTTCCCCTCCCTGAGTCATATCCCTTCACACCCGTGTCACTGTGGGGCTGGCAGGGGCGGGGGGGCGCTTTCAGGCCCCAAGGAGGCAAGGAATCTGGACCCCCTATTCTTCCCCAGCACACAGACAGTCACACCTGCCCCTTCTGCCGCTGCGAGATCAAGGGCCGGGAGCCCATCAGTATCCACCAAGACCAGGGGAAGCCAGCTGCAGAGGGAGAGCTGGGGGGTCACAGCGACCTAAACGAGAGGGAGCCAGAGAGGGAGCCAGAGCCGGAGCAGGTGAACAGGGCCAGCCGGAACTGGGGCTGGACCCCTGGGGTGAGGGAGGAGGGGCTGGGCTCGACCCCTGGGTGTAAGGAGGAGGGGCTGGGTGGGGCTGGACCCCTGGAAGTGAGGGAGGAGGGGCTGTGCTGGACCCCTGGGTGTGAGGGAGGAGGGACTGGGGCTGGACCCCTGGGTGTAAGGAGGAGGGGCTGGGTTGGACCCCTGGGTGTGAGGGAGGAGGGGCTGGGTTGGACCCCTGGGTGTGAGGGAGGAGGGGCTGGGTGGGGCTGGACCCCTGGGTGTAAGGAGGAGGGGCTGGGCTGGACCCCTGGGTGTAAGGAGGAGGGGCTGAGCAGGATCCAAGAATCCTGGGAGCCTTGATCTTTCCTCCCCTCTTCCTTCTCTTCTCCTGTAGGGCTGGGGACAGCCACATCTTCCTGGTGACCCCAGCTTGTCTCATCCTCTGTCTGCCCCAGGTGGTCCGTTCTGCTCCCCCGCTGCCCCCCAGGAGGCCCATGAATGAAGGCGGGCTGACCGTGGTGAGTCACACATCCGTGTCCTTCAAGGGCGCAGTGAGCTCCCGGTGTGGCGGGAACGCCAAGGGCAGCACGCACGCGGCCACACACCTGCCCCCTGTCCTCTTCCCTCACCCCCTCCCCACCTGCTTCCCTTTCCTGCCCGCCTCCAGGCACACCCCGGCCCCAGGGCCTTTGTCTGGCTTTTCCCTGGACTGGGCACACTGGGCGGTCTCTCGCCTTGCCCACTGCCCGCATCCATTCTTCGCAGCAGTCATTTTTTCCTGTCCACAAAGTGCCAGCCCTGGCCCTGGCTTCCATGCAGAGTCATAACAGAAACCAGGTATCACATGAACGCGCAGACCACGTCTCCCCGCCCCAACCCTGTCCCAGAGAGGTGGCCACACCTGCCTGAAGCCCTGGGGTCTGGGAGAGGAGCCAGCGCGGAGGGAAGTTTGTCTTGGAGGTCCCCCAACCATCGGCACCCAGACCTGGCTTTGTCCTCACCCTCCACTCCACACGGCCACACCCCAGGGCTCCCCACCCCGCAGGCCCTCCGGGGAGGGGCCGGTGGCTGCATGCCTCTCCAGCTGAGTGCGCACGAGGCTTCAATCAATACCGGGGCCTCTTCAAACAAACAGCTCAGGAAGTCCCGGAACATGATTCGACCGCAGCTAGCGAGGGGCCAGCAGGAAGGGGGGGACCAGCGAGGGAAGCTAAAAACAGATCCGGTCTGGGAGCCAAAAGCAAATGGAAACATTAGAGGCACTCAGAGGGCTCCCTGGGGACGGCCAGGGCCACAGTGCAGGGCAGGCGGGCAGGCGGGCAAGCAGGCGGGCAGGCGGCCCCATACCTGGCCTGGGCTGCTGTACTCTGCGGACCACGCCTGCTCGCTGTCTACCCCACCCCCACCTCGAAACTTGGCCTCATTCCAATTCCCTTCAACTCCCTCCGCGCTCTTGCATTCTTCAAAACACATTAGGGCCGTAACAGCCGCGGCGGGCATGCCTCTTGCTTGGGGGGTCTGTCTCTGTTGTGTGCACCTGTTAGAATCCCATTATGCAGAGGGGATCCGTGAGGAAGAGTACAAGTTCTCCGGGGTCCTGGGGGCGGGGGAGTCGGGGTGGAAGCCCTGCCCCTGCCACGCCCAGGGTGGAGGGGGGCGTTGATCTTAGGCAGGATGCTGGGGGAGAGGCGAAGGCTCCACCTCTCTGTGGTGATCCAAGCATGGGCTCCTCCCCCTGGCCGCTGCTGTCCCTTCTCTGAGACACTGTCCCTCCGGGGCGACACTGTCCCATCGTGGGACCCTGCCCACTGAGGCCTTCTCTGATCCCCCCCTCCACCCCTCGTGTCTCCATGGCTGGGGGTGGGGAAGGATGCAGAACACTCTGGAACATTCTGGAATATTCCTCGCTCAGTAGACTCTCAGCTCCACAGACTCTTATGCACGGCATCTTCTCGGAGCCCAGAACAGTGCCTGACACCCAGATGCTCAGAAAATGTCAGGATGGACAGATGGATGGATGGACAGATAGCTGAATGGATAGATAACACACTTTCCTCCTCAAAGCAGAGAGGCCGGGGAGGAAAATACAGGGTGACTGGGGGATATGGGCGACAGGTTGCATCTGCTGAGTGCCACTGTTGCCCAGCTCCCTGAGACACTTCCAATGCCCTCTTCCCTCAGGCACCCCTGGCCCTGCCCAGACTCCAGCCCCAGCTTCCACTTCCCTTGCCCAGAGTCACGACTTTGGCCTCAGCCCCCTGGCAAGTCCCCGCCTGCCCCCAGGCCAGGGAAGGGGCTGGAGGGTAAGTGGGGTCTCCATACCCATGGGGAAAAGTGGATAATGAGGGGTGAAGATGGGGCCAGGGGAAACCTTAGGTCCTTGGAAATCAATCCTGACGCCACCCTGTGTCCACTGCAGAAACTGCTGAATTCAGCGGAGCTGAGCCAGCAGCTGCCCCGCCAGGTGAGACCCCTGGCTCTTACCCCAACTCCCCATCCTCCCAGGGCAGCCTGACCTGGCTGTCCTGCTTAGCTCGACCCAGCCCCGAGATGGCAGCCCCTAACCCCAACTCTCTTTCCGCTTCACAGGGCACCTGACCTACTCAACAGGCAGGCAAAGGCCTGGAAGGGGCTCTGCAAAGAGGAAATAAACTGCCAAGCCTGGCCTGGCCTCCCTGGGTGCAGCTAGAGGGCAGAGGCCACCAGAGGGCAAGCTAGAAAAGGGCAGGCTGAGAGGGCCCAAACTCTATCTGATGACCACATCAGTGACCCTGAGTCGCTCCTCCCTCAGACCTGCACATGGGGACTGGTGCGCCCCCAGCCTCCTCCCTCAGACCTGCACATGGGGACTGGTGTATCCCCAGCCTCCTCCCTCAGACCTGCACATGGGGACTGGTGCACCCCCAGCTGCCTCCCTCAGACCTGCACATGGGGACTGGTGCCCCCCCAGCCTCCTCCCTCAGACCTGCACTTGGGGACTGGTGCCCCCCCAGCCTCCTCCCTCAGACCTGCACTTGGACCCCCCACCAGCTGCCTCCTTCAGTCTCAATAGTCCTTCTGTCAGAATTTCAGTGTCCAGAGTCCCAAGTTCTCAAACGATCAGGCAGGCATCCTCCTCCCCCTTCATGGTGAAAAAGATCCCAGACCCAGGTACCCCTGGATCAGAAAGACAGCCCCCCCACCCCTTCCCTTGCCAGGGACCCAGGACCTGTGCTTCTCCCGCCTCTCCCCTCTGCCCCGTCTCTGTGGTCCTCTCACAGCAACGGTCATCTCCAGTCTCAGTCCAGCTAAGGCCACCCCCCGCCCACCATCAACCATCTTGAGGGGGCCCCAAGTCTCCAGCCCTTTCTGTACCAGGCCCTGAAGCTTCCTGCCACCTGACCTTTCTGAGAAGTCAGGGAGGACTTCCAGGAGGAGGGGGTGGCTGAGCTGAGAGGTGAAAGCTGCAGAATAAAGTACAGAGTGGGCAGAGCCTGAAAGCTTGGGGCAAAAAGGGCATTTCTTGAGAGGCTTCTGGGTCAGGCCAGCAATCCCAGGAGTGGTTGGGAGAACAAGGACTGGAGGGGGAGCGAGGACACGGGCAGCCAGCCAGTCGCCGTCACCCAGCCCCGGCCAGGCCACAAAACCGGTCTGATGAGGACACACGCACCCCGTGACCAGTGGACACTGCAGTCATCCCGCTGCCCCAGAAGCAACCTGGAGTCGCCCCGCATCTGAGCAGCTGCTCCTGGCACCATTCCGCACATCTGTGCAAACAGTACAGTCGCTCCAGCACGGTGGAGGCGGGGGTGGGGAGAGGCTTGGCTAGGAGCAGGGGGCGTCTAGGGACGCCACCACGGGGCACCTGAAGTAAGGCAGCTGGGGTCCGACCAGCCTCCCTGCAGTGTGGCCTCCACGCCGCCCACCAGCTTGGCCCGAAGGTGGTCTGAGGGAAGGCATGTAGGGGTGGCTGACGGCTTTGTGGTGAGAGCAGCAGCCCCTCCCATTAGCAGGCTCCCAGCCCGCAGCCAGGTGCAGCTGACCTCAAACTTACTAAGTCTTTTCCAGGGGCTGGTGCTGTGACACAACAACGTAACCCCACCCGCAAGCGTCAGCGTCCCATATGTGCACCGGTTCATGTCCCAGCTACTCCACTTAGTGGTGCTCCCTGCTTGTGACCTAGAAAAGCAGCAGAGGATGGCCCAAAGCCTTGGGCCCATGCAGCCACATGGGAGACCCAGAGGAGACTTCTGGCTCCCAGCTTAGGGCCATCCTAGCTTTGCCTAGTGCATCCACTGGGAGAGTTAACTAGCAAATGGAAGACCCTCTTTCTCCATCTCGTTCTGTGTCTGTAAAAATCTACCTTTCTAATAAAAAAAATAAATAAATATTTTTTAAAAATTACATCTGGGGCCTGGTGCTTTGGCCTAGCGTCTAAAGTCCTCACCTTGAGCATGCCGGGATCCTATGTGGGAGCCAGTTCTAATCCCGGCTGCTCCACTTCGCATCCAGCTCCCTGCTTGTGGCCTGGGAAAGCAGTCAAGGACGGCCCAAAGCCTTGGGACCCTGCGCCCATGTGGGAGACCTGGGAAAAGCTCCTGGCTCCTGGCTTTGGATTGGTGCAGCATCGGCCGTTGCAGTCACTTGGGCAGTGAATCATCGGACAGAAGATTTTTTTTTTTCTTTTTCTCCTCCTCTATGTATATATCTGACTTTGCAATAAAAATAAATATAAAAAAATAATAATTACATCTGAACATGTACTACTCTTTTTTGGGGGGGTCATTATTCAGTAAACAATCTGTCATTTACTTTAGCACTGACATTGTGCTGCTGTTGTAATCTAATCTAGAGGTGATTTACGCAGCTGGGAGTACGCCAGCGCCGTGGCCCGCCCTGCACGCTGAAGGCTGCTCCACTTCTGGCCGGCTCCCTGCTACCGTGCGCCCTCGGCTGTCCGGCCGGACGGAGTGCCTGGCTCCTGACCTCAGCTTGGCCCAGCCCCAACCAGTGCAGGCATTTGGGGCTTGAATCAGTGGATGAAAGGTCTCTCTCTCTCCCTCTCTGCAACTCTGCCTTTCAAACGAATAAATGAATCTTTCACAATAAATAAGTTAAAATTTTCACATAAATAATATTCAGGAGATGAGGCAGCTGTTGAGCGCTTGGGAGACCTACCCATCCTGCATCACAGTGTCTGAGTTCAATGGCTTCACTTTTTTTCCCCCTTAAAGGTTTATTTATTCAGTTGAAAAACAGTTATGAGGAAAGAGAGAGAAAGGGATCTTCTATCCATCTGGTCATCTGTTGCTTTGCCCCACCAGGTGATCACAAAGGCCTGACCTCAGCTACAAACCAGACGCTTCTTCCAGCTCTCCCATGCAGGTGCGGGGAGTGAAGCGGGGAGCTGGATGGGACGTGAACCCGTTCCCGTGTGGAATGGCAGCTTTGCTTTCTCTGCTCCGCCACCACGTCGGCTCTGCCTTTGCTTCTGATTGCAGCTTCCTGTTGATACACACGCTGAGAGGCTGCACGCGACGGCTTAAGCACCTGCATCCCTGACGCCCAGAAGGAGCCACAGATTTTTTTTTTTTTTGACGATGTTTCATAGTTGGTTAGGGTGGGAGGGTTAAGGTTTCTTTTTCTTCTTCCTTTATTTGGGGGAAGGGGAGAAGCCGCACCCAGCCTCCCAATCACCTCAGGGCTCGAGCATGGGGAACAGCCACCCGATGTCATTTCAGCGTCCCCAGTGGGGAGTATGGTTTGAGTGTTCTGTTCAAGTGGTTTCAGTAGTTCTGAAGTGCTGTCAATCTCGCCACTCCAAGGATGAGGAAACCCTCCCAAGGTCCATTGGCTGACACAGTCCACCTTAGAGTCTTCATTCACCCAGATATTTGCTATCAACACTTGGCTGGGGTAGTTGGTCAATCCATTCTGCCCTCCTTTCTCTGCTGTGGTACCAGATGTGCTCTGCAGGCTCCAGTGGACTGCCATATCCTCCGTGTGCATCTGGGCATGCTGTTCACTGCTTTGTCTAAGCCACTGTAGAGACCCAGTTCTGACACCTGCACTCCACAGTCAGACCTCAGATCCTGTGATTCTCCCCATGGTTGGAGCTCTGAGTCCAGCGGTTCAATTGGGGGAATCCCTGAAGAAACTTCATCTGCGGTGACCCCAGACCTGGCTCTTGTGTGTGCTTGCTAATACAGGGTCCAGCTCTGTCTGTCACCCACATCAGCCTATACACACATTGATAGTTGCAACTGCTGGATCAAGTCTGTCTCCAGCCCCATCTCTTGCGCAAACCAATGGGTATTACAGCCCAGCCCAACCCTGCCCACCACACACTCAGCTCTAATGCATACCAGTGGGAACTGCAACCTAGTTAGGGTAACACCCAATAACCTCCACCAGGCCTTCCCCTACCCGGCCCTAGTTCCTATGCTTGCCAGTATGTGCAGGAGACAGCTCCCATCTGGCCCACATCCCATTCAGCTCTCACACATGTCAATGGGTTTTGAAGCTTAGCTCAACTCAACCATTCCCACTCTCCAGCCCACACTCATGCCAGTGGGTACCACTGCCTGTCCACCTAGGCCTGCCCCAAGCCCTGGTTCTCATGCTCACCAGTGGGAGTTGCAACCCATGAGAGACGCTCACAATTTCCCTACTGGGCCCACTCCCAATCCCAGATCTTGCATTCTCCAGGTGGTTCTGCAGTCTAGCTTGACAGGATCTGCCCCTAGTCCCAGAACTTGCCAGCTGAAGCTGCAGCAAAGCCCAACCAGACAACTCCTACTGTTGCATGCAATAGTAGGTACAGTCGATCAGCACAGCCTGGTTCTCCCCATAACATGCAAGCCAACAAGTATTGTAGCCCAGCCCAGCCTGCTCTGCCCTGATCCCTGTTCTTACACTTGCCAGTGGGAGCAGTGGCTCAGCAAGGGAAACCCTTGTGGTCCCCCTAACCAGGCTCCCACCACCACTACCACCTCCTTGGAGATGCAGATTTTAAGTTGGGAAGATCTCTCTGCTTCTCAGAAAGTCCATAAAGTGTACAAAAGAAAGTTTAAACATATGGAAGGATTGCCTAAGTTATATCCAAGTACCATGTGTTTTATAGAAAAGCCCCGAGCACCCAAGGACTTGGGTATCCATGGGGCTCTGCATGTCCTTCCAGAGTCAGTGTGACCCAGGCAGAAACCATGGGACCTGCTCTGTATCTGGCAGGGCCACACGGCATCACTTCACTGCCTAACTTCACTACATCTTTCTACATTCTATGAGAAAATCACAAAAAAGACTTCACCTTGTGATGGAAACTGAGCAGTGTCGTATGCTGCTCACAGACGAGCATGTCGGATAAAAGCTTGCTGGCCCTGTGGTTTGTTTTTTCTTTCTTTTTAAGATTTATTTGTTTTTATTGGGAAGACTGATTTACAGAGAGAAGGAGAGACAGGAGAAAGATCTTCTGTCCACTCATTCCCTCTTCGAGCTGGAGCTGAGCCAATCTGAAGCCGGGAGCCAAGAGCTTCTTCTAGGTCTCCCACACGGATGCAGGGTCCCCAGGCTTTGGGCTGTCCTCGACTGCTTTCCCAGGCCACAGGCAGGGAGCTGGATGCGAAGTGGAGCAGCTGGGATTAGAACTGGTGCCCATATGGGGGATGCTGATGCTTGAAGTTAGAGAGGTAGCCTGTTGAGCCGCAGCACCGACCCTGGTCCTGTTTTTGAAAAACAGACGCTGGCCTGGCTGCCCTGGCTGCCCTGGCTGCCCTGGCTGGGAGAAACGAGCCAACTCCTGCTGCTTTTGCAATAGTAGCTCCAGCCTTGCAGCTCCAAGAGAGCAGGAAGGTAAACACTGATCCCTGTTGACTCCCACAGGGAGCACGAGGCTCTCAGATCTTAAGGTTTTCTCTCAACGTGTGTGGCAGGTGCAGACGCTGTGTCCTGTCCTAGCCAAGCATCATTGCTGTCCACCCCTTTACAGTGTTCGTGTGTCCTCGGTTCCCCCCAGATGCTGCCCTAGGCACCGCTCCTGATTAAGTTTCCTGGTACAGCAGCTAAGGTGCAGCCGGGGATATGCACATCCCATATCAGAGCTCCTGGTTCAAGGCCCAGCTCTGCCTCCCATCGCAGCTGCCTGTGTGCACCCTGGGAGGCAGCGCGTGATGCACCAAGTACTCCGGTCCCTGCTGCCCGGGGTGGGACTGTCAGCAGCAAGCGGAGGAGCTAAGAGCTGGCAGTCCTCTGCCATGCTGTGTGACAGCTGGAGACTGCGCCAGGCTATCGGCGATTTCACGACCACAGCTGACCTGCCACAGAACAGCTGTGGCTGGCCAGAGAACAGCGCGACCCAGCTGGCATGACAAGTCCCCTTCTGTGCATCACTCACACTCCCTTCCCTTTCTGTGCACAACCCAGGCCCACCCCCTGCACCTGCCAGCCGCATCCCTTTCCCAGGAACGAAAACTCTGTCTTGCTATGTTGTAAACTTGGCACCAATGGATCTGGAAACACCCAGCATGGCAGCAGGGTGTGTCTCCCCAGTGGCCCTTCTGTTCGTTATATTGTCACCTTGGGGGGATGTGGGTGGGAGGCACACCCACTCCCGTCACACTCCCATGTGGTGGCTCAACAGGTTAAACTGCTGCCTGCATCCCATATGTGCATCACTTTGAGTCTCAGCTGCTCCACTTCCCATCCAGCTCCCTATTTGTGGCCTGGGAAAGCAGCAGAGGACGGCCCAAAGCCTTGGAACCCTGCACTCTGAAGGGAGACCCAGAAGAATCTCCTAGCTCCTGACCTTAGATCAGTTCAGCTCCAGCTGTTGCAGCCCTCCTGTTCCACCCTGCGATCCCCTCCTGCTCTGTACACACAGCCTCCTTTAAGAGGGTGTCAGGGTTGTTCTTGGATCCCACCACACATTTCCATGGCTTTTCTAATGACTGAGGCCGTTACGAATTTGTTATTTATAAATAATAAGTTACACTTAAAGTCTTCCTCAAACATTCTAAGAAGGTGGAGAATTTCTCTGCACTCCTGACCTGTAGTAAAACAACAGGAATATTAAACAAATTTAGTTTTCCAGTTCTTAGAGGCAGTTCCACTGGGGTTCCATCCTCTCCAGGGTAGCGTTGTATTCAAGTTGCTGCACTTCCAAGGTCAGATGAGCCATAGGGAAACCCACAGTTTTGAGGATCCATCAGGAAATTCTAGGGGCAAGAGCATAACCTTCCCATGGATTATTTAGTGTTCCAGAATATCAATCATTCAGTTGTTTTATCAAATACATAAAAGTCTCTTGGGAGAAGTGATGACCTCACGGAGGTGGCTTTTTCTTGGCTGGGGGCTTTCTCTTTGCTGAGGGTTTTTCTTCTGGCCTTTATGCGTTTCTGGCTCTTTCTCCGTGCGACCCTGGGTTTCTGAGATTGCCCTTTCATTCCATCGTGAGGACACCTGTCTGTGTCTGCGTCTCTACGCCTCCAGCTCTGACTTGTTTCACACGTAGAAGAAAGAACCTGTAACAAGGCTAACCAGGAGACCTGGCTAGAGTTCCTGGCTCCTGACGTCAGCATGGCCTAGCCCTGGTTGTCGCAAGAATTTTGGGAGTGAATCACTGGATATCTGATGTCTCTGTGACATTCTTTTCTTCGCCTCTGTTTTTTAAATAAATGGAAAGTCTTGAGAGACAAAGAGAGCAAGAAAGGGGCCGGCTTTATGGCATGTGGCCTTGTACATTAAACCTCTGCCCGTGGTGCTAGCATCTCATATAGGCACCAGTTCGAAACCTAATTGCTGCACTTCAGATTCCCTGGCAATGGCCTGGGAAAGCAGCAAAGGATGACTCAAGTGTTGGGGTCCCTGCACTTACATGGAGACCTGTAAAGAAGCAACTGGCCCCTGGCCTCAGCCTGGCTCAGCCCTGACCACTGTGACCAGCTGGGGACTAAACCAGCAGGTAGAGGATCCATGTTTGTCTCTTGCCTCATGTCACTTTGACTTTCAAGTAAACCAACCTTTAAAAAGATCTACATATTTATTTGAAAGGCAAAGTAACAGAGGGACAAAAAGAGAAAGAGAGAGAGAGAGATCTTCCATCTGCCATGGCTGTATCTGCCAGGACTAGGCCAAGTGGAGATCAGGATCCAGGAACTCCATTCCTGGCTTTCCACACACAAGCGGCAGGGGCTCGGGGTCGTCCACCGCCTTCCCAGGTGAGCAGGGAGCTGGAGGAGAAATGGAGCAGCCGGGACTTGAAGGCGCACGCCAATGCAGGATGCCAGCATCATTACACCGTGGCTTAATTCACTGCATCCCACTGCTGTCCTCTGGAACAGAACTTCATGTTCATGGTCCGAAATGCAGAGAGGTGTGCACCACACACACACACACACACACGCGCGCCCGCACACACCTTCAAATGCCCGACCCCTGACTCACATTTTAACAGGATTCCTCTGGCTGTTTTGTTGAACTCAATTGCAGGGGACAGAGGCAGGTGACGTGAGGATTCCTGTCGGTGCAGGTCTGCAGGAAGCCAGACTGACATGACATGCCTGACCGTCCTCCCTTGCACAAGTTCCTCATGTCCCCTGCCCCCCAGGGACAGAAGACAGCAAGCGGGAAAGAGGAGTGGCCTGCCAAACAGAGAACCACGCAGGTCCAGCTCACTGAGCAGGTGCACATGCCTCACAAGGAAAGGATTGGGGGTCACAGGGCTGGCTTGTCCTGGGGGCTCCCAGGGCTGGCTTGTCCCAGGGGGCTCCCAGGGCTGCCCTGCAGGGAGATTGAACCTGTCTACAGGTATATGAGCATTGTGGGGCCAGCCTACAAACCTGCTCTGTGTATGCTCTTGTGCAGGTAGGGCAAGAGGGGTCAGCAGTGACTATGGCAACCCTGACCCAGCCCCCAAGGACTCCAGTGGTGGGGGCCACCCAGAGTGAGCAGGGCTGAGGTAGGGAAGTGGCAGGGGGAATCCTGACCCAGCCCACGGAGGCAGAGGGGGTTTTCTTGAGACAGGGGTGGTGTGGCAAGCACTGCAGAGCACCTTTCCCAGAGGGATGGCTGCCCTCCTGCGCGACCTAGTGGACAATGTGGCTTTGATTCATCGAGTAAAGCCCAGAGTACGGGGACCCCCACCCCACCCACGCTAGAGCCCAGGCTGCAGGGGGGAAGCCCACCCATCCACGCTACAGCCCAGGGTGCAGGGGGACATGCCTGCTCACCCACGCTACAGCCCAGGCTGTAGGGAGGGTACATCCACCCACCAACTCTAGGCCCATGAGAGGCCTGAGGAACTTCTCCCAACAGGACCAGCCCTCCCTACCCCCATGCTGACCAAGGCCCCAGGGCAGCTAACTTGTCCCAAGTGATGGATACCTCAACTTCCCTCCTTGACCTCCCCCACCTCCAGCCCCCTCTGGGCCAGTTGTCCCAAATGGACCTGGCCTGTGAGAAGCCTTGAGCATTCTCACCTATGACCGCCTCACCCTCCCTACACACTTCCTCGGTGTGACCTGTGACCTTCCCTGACAGGACTGGCCAGTGCCCTGGCTTGCTCCCCTCCCCCACCCACCTGCTCCTGCCAGCCGCTCTCTTCCCCTCCCCACTAAGGATGGGAGGGAAAGAAGGGGAGAGCTGGAGGAAGGAGGGTGGCATTCCTGGGATTCCCCGGATGGAGGGGGGTGTGTGTGCGCGCGGGCTGGCCGGAGCACCCCCTCCAACCCTGAGGTGATGAAGGAGGCCGAGGCGGAAATGGGAATGAAGACTTGAAAGATTAGCGGCGGAACAGTGGTTCCTTGCCACTGATCTCAGGAGAAGGGCAGCGCCCAGCGTCCTGGCCGCGGGGGAGGGCAGCACAGGGCAAGAGCCGGAGGCGCGGCGGCTTCTAGCCCTTGGTGCCGCAGCCGATCCCCGCCTGGGGAGCAGCCAGCGCAGGCCGCGGGAGAGGCTGGGGTCTCCCAGTTACCCGGGCAGAGGCTGGGTGCCGGCCACAACTGGTGGCACCTGGGCCAAGCATGGTGGGGACGAGGCCTCAGGCTCCCCAGGCCGGAATGAGGGGCACTGGTGGGATTGAGCGCTAGCTCAGGGTCTCCACCGCCGCGGGCGCTGGTCAGCCCAGGCCGGGACAGCCCCGGGAGCCTGGGGGCGGCGGGAGCAGCGCGCCGGGCGCGGCGCGGGCAGGTTCGCTCTGGGCAGTGGGAGGTCCTGGCCCGGCGCCCGGGCCTGGGTCCGGAGGGCGGGCCGAGGCGGGGCCTCCGGAGGCGGGGCCTTGTGCTCCCGGCCCCGCCGCGGCCGAGCTGCAGCCCCGGGCTCAGTCGTCGCCGCCGCCGCCGTGGACATGGAGCCCCCGGACTCCCGGACCCGGGCGCGCAGGGCCCCGCGGCTGCTGTTGCTCGCACTGCTGTTGGCGGCGCCCCCAGGTAGGGCTCGGGCTGAGAGCAAGGCGAGCAGGGAGGGGTGCGGGCCCCTGAGGTCTCCGGGAAACCAAACGCAAGGTGGCTTTCATGCGTGCGTCCCAAGAAGCAAAAGGTGTGGCCCCAGGCAAGAGGTGTATGGGAGGCGTGGGGAGCTGCTCCTCCTTAGGAGAGGCGTGTGCATAACCAGGCAGGAGAGCTGGGGACATCACAGCATCGATCGGAGGCAGCCTGTGGAGTCACCCCAAGTCAGAGCCCCAGTCTGGAGACCCCTCAGACCAGGGCTTCAGGCCCCCCAGTGGCTAGAACTCCTTCCTCCAAGACACACTGAACTAAAGCCCCAGGCCTGTCCCCCAATAGTCTTATTTCGAGGAGAGCAGGAACATTCTCCCCCCCAAACCTCCCTCCCCAGAGAAGCCAGGCACCCTGCAGCAGGATTAGGAACAATTTAGTTTTCCCAAACTGGAAAGAATCCACCTGACCCAGGGGGAGGGCAACGCCAGTGGGACTAAGTGTTTCCGAGTGCTGTGCCTTCTTGGGGCCCCACACCAGGCCATACACCTGTGCGTGCTGCGGGGCTGGGGGTCCTGGGGGCAGGCCTGAGAGATGAGGGAAGAGAAGAAGCGATCTCATTGCCCGCCCTGGTCGTCAGCAGCTTGGATCCAGCCCAGGGCACCCACCAGCATGGCCCCATGTCTCCTTCCCAGGCGCAGGCTGGGGCCAGAAGTAGGCTCCTGGGAGTCGGGGCCCCTGGCATAAGGCTGGCAAATAGTGGGTCCCCAGGGGCAGGGCTGGGCCCGGCCCGGCTGGGCGGGGAAGGGAAGCAAGGTTCTAAGAGCTGAGAGCCTGTGCCAAGTTGCCAGCCCAGAGGGTGAGAGGGTAGGGTGGCTTCGTAAGAACGGCTCTTTTTCTCCTGCCAGAGGCCCCTCCTCCCCCAGGACCCTGTACCCACAGCCTCAGCCCTGTCCTGTCCTGCAGTGATTCCCCTACCCACTTCTCTATCCAGGAGAGAAAGGAGGCTGAGGGGCGGCTCTAGGGGGGCTCTGGCGCCAAGCCGGGCAGGTCTCAGCCAGTCTGTCCCTCCCACATTCCTGAAACCTGCCCAGCCCTGTCCCCCCTCGCCGCCCCCACACACCCATCCCGCCTCAGCTCTCAGTGTGCTTGCCAGGCCCACACCCCAGCCCCCCACGCAGGAGGGAGTAGAGGGAAGCCCCAGGGGCTGGGCAGAGGCAGGGAGCCCCAGGCTGTGACAGCCGCACCTGCAAAGGCTCACTGGAGGCCAGGGGCTGGGCGCTGCCATCAAAGGGTGGAGGAGGAGTCTATAGCTCAAGAAGAGATGGAAGATGGAGAGAAAGAGAGAGGCCGCGTCAGTGGCCTGGGAGAGAGTTCACTGGCTGTCCCGCAGGTGCACAGGCCAAGATGCAAGTGTCGGTGCCTCCCCTGGTGGAGGTGATGCGTGGGGACCTGGTCACCCTGGACTGCAAGCCCCATGTGTCCCAGAACCGCTATGTCCTGGAGTGGTTCTTGGTGAGTGCTCTGGGCTGGGCTGGAGGGCGTGAAGGGGGTAGGGTGTCAGGGTGCACCTGCCAGAGCAGGCCTCTCCTCCTCCAAGCCAAGAGGACCCTGGGAGACCTGCCAGACTGCATTTCTGTTTAACAGACAGGGAGATGGACGGCCAGAGTGAGGAAGGGGTTTCCCCAGGGTGGCTGGCTGAGACTCCAGAAGCAAGCAGGCAGAGGGGGAGGTGGGGTACAGGGGACAGGCAGGGGCAAGGTGGGGTGCAGGGAGCAGGCAGAGGGGGAGGTGGGGTACAGGGGGCAGGCAGGGGGAAGGTGGGGCGCAGGGGGCAGCTAGGCAGGAGAGATGGGAACTGCATGAGTTGGAGTGGGGGAGAATACACAGGGAACAGGCCACTGGGCAGGGCAGGGGGCACAGGAAGACGGGGGACACAGAGGGAGGGTGTGCAGCTCCTGCAGCTGAGACCCCACCCTGTACCCACACAGACAGACCGCTCTGGAGACCGGCACCTAGTGGCCTCAGCTGAGCCCCAGGGCTCGGAGTTAAGGGGCACTGTGCATAACTCCTGGGGCCGCAGCCCCCCGTACCAGCTGGACTCCCAGGGGCGCCTGATAATGCCCACGGCCCAGGTGAGCGACGAACGGGACTATGTGTGTGTGGTGAAGGCAGGGGCAGCGGGCACTGCTGAGGCCACCGCCCGGCTCCGCGTGTTCGGTGAGTGGCGCTGGAGGACTCCCCGAGAGAGCAGAGGGGAGGAGGGGGTGCAGGGGAGGAGCTCCTGACCCGCTGGCCTGACTTTCTCCATAGCCAAGCCAGAGACCACCGAGGTTTCCCCCAACAAAGGGACCCTGTCTGTGATGGAGGAGACGGCTCAGGAGGTACCTTGGGGACAGACTGAGGGCTGCTAGGGGCAGGGGGCTGGACTCCTGTGTCCTGGACAGAGGGACTGTGAGCTGGAACTTGTGGGTTGGGAGCTGACCCCTCCCCCTACTGGACTCAAGGCCAGGCCGTTGCCCCGCCCCCTCTCAGATTGCCACCTGCAACAGCCTGAATGGCAACCCGGTCCCTAAGATCACCTGGTACCGGGACGGGCAGCGCCTGGAGGTGCCCACAGAGGTGAACTCAGGTGAGTAGTGCAGGGCGCTGGCAAAGCCGTGGGTGGGAAGGGCTTCCTGTCCCACTCTGGTCAGGGTATAGAAGAGTAGGACAAAGAAGAGATGGAAAACCACAGAGCCAGAGCAGATGTGTTCAGGAACAACCTGAGGGGGCTCTCCGCGGCCCACCGTGGCAGAGCCAGCTCTCTCACAGGCTGCGGTCTTTGAGCAGGAGGCCGCTGCAGGGGTGGGGCTGAGGTGGGCTCTGGAAGGTCTAGTCTAAGGCTGGGCTCTGGGGAAGGTTGGGGGGTTTGGGAAGGTTTGGGCCAGTCAGGGCAGAGCTGAGCCGGTCCAGGAGCAAAGTAGGGCGCCTAGAAGGGACTGGAAGGATCTAGGAGGATCTAGGAGGGTCTAGAAGGCTCGCCCGCTTGTTCCATCACCCTCCTGTCTCGCAGAGGGCTACATGACCACCCGCAGGGTGCGGGAGGCCTCGGGCCTCTTTTCCCTGAGCAGCACGCTCTACCTGCGGCTCTACAAGGCCGACCGAGACGCCCGCTTCCACTGTGCGGCCCACTACAGCCTGCCCGACGGCCTCCACGGCCGCCTGGACAGCCCCGAGTTCCGCCTCATTCTGCACTGTGAGTCTACACTTCTCAGTCTCCTCCGCTCCAGCCCACCCTGACCTCCACCCCAGGATGGTCTGCTGCCCGGCCCCTGACCCCTAACCTCTGATAAGACCCCACCCCAACTTCTGGTCTCACTCGGCACCCTGAGCCCCATGGGGTTTGTGTCTCACCCTCTCTCTCTCCCACCACATTGGGGTCCTCCTAAGGCATCTGGCCCCTGAATCTCACTTTGACCTGTCATCCAAACTGACCTCTGACCTATGCAAGCTCTGAGTCTCATGCCTGGTTTCAGGATGAGTGTGAACCTGACCCTCTAACCTTTGACCTGTGGTAGCCCTCCCTTTGACCCCTCTCATTCCCCTTGCTCTTGTCTCAGATCCCACGGAGAAGGTGAAGTTCGGGGTGGGCAGCCCGGCTGCCGCGGAGGGCTGGGTGCTCGAGGGTGACTCCATTCAGTTGCTCTGCCAGGGGGACGGCAGCCCCAGCCCGGAGTACACATTCTTCCACCTTCAGGTGACACCCCGCTTCCCACATGTGGTCCTCAGCCCCGTGACCCCTGTAACTTTACTAATCTGCCCCAACTTCTGGGCTGACCCCTGGCCCTTATTTGGAAAAGGCCTTGCTCTGGTGTGACACTGGTCTGGTAACTCCGGGCCAGGGTGGGCCCTAAGCCTGCTTCCTTCTTCCGGGCCGCCCAGGGGGAGCACGAGAAACTGCTGAACATGAATCTCGAGGGGAACCTCACCCTGACGGGGGTGCACCGGAACCAAAGCGGGAGCTACGGCTGCAGAGTAGAAGATTACGACGCCCCTGAGGACGCCCAGCTCTCCCAGACTGGGAAGCTGCACGTGGCCTGTGAGAGCCTGGACCCCGCCCTCCGACCCCTCCCTTGCCCAGTCTTCTTTGCATCCCCAGAGTTTGCCCTGGTTCTCTGCCCCTGCCCCCTCCAACTACCCCACCCAAGGCACATACCAGATCTTCTGCCTAGAACCCGCCGTGGCTCCCTAGTACTCCCAGGAGAAAGGCAGGCCCTGATCACAACGCACCAAAGTGGTTTCAAGGCCTCCCTGGACAATTTTATCTTCCACTCACCCTCCTCCCTCCCCTCCAGTCCGCCTCCTGCTCCTGCCGCCCCAGGTTCCCCTCCCTCTCTGCTTCTTTTTTCTTTTAAGAAGTATTATTTGAAAGGCAGAGTTACAGACAAGCCAGAGCGAGAGCTTTTCCATCCTCTGGTTCACTCCCCAATGGTTGCAAAAGCTAGGGTTGGGCCAGCCAGGAGTTTGTAACAGCGTCTGGGTCTCCCACGAGGGTGGCAGAAGCCTAAGCATTGTGGCCATCAAAAGCTGCTTTCCCAGGTGCATATTAGCAGGGGAGCTGGATGGGAAGTGGAGCAGCTGGGATTCAGGTTGGCGTTCCCATGGGATGCGGGCAGCACAGGTAGTGGCGTTATCCCATGCACCACCATGCCGGCCCTTCTCTGCCCAGTGATGACCAATCCCCGGGGCCCAGGCTTCCAAAGCCCTGGTCAGCCACGTTTCCATTTGTTCGCACCCAAAGCCGTGGACAAAGGCTCTATGCTGGGGCCTGGTGACCCCTGCATGAATGGGCCAGTCCCCTCCCTCCGGAGCAGGGGTCTGGGTGAAGTGCCCAGGCAAACGCTGCCATGTAGCTGAGGAATTGCCGGCTGATAAGCCAGGGAAACAGGCCTGGAGGAATGGAGGTGATTGAGATAGGGACTGCAGTCCACATCCCTGTGGGAGGCCCCCCGGGAGTGGGACAGTGGAGGAGGGAAGCTGTTAGAGGGAGATACCAGGCTACCCCACAGGCTACCCCACAGGCACGTGGGCGCAGGGAAGTCCCTTCGCAGCTGTGCCCGGTCTGGCCAGTACGCTGTGCTTTTATACCCTCATGCAAGTCAGTCACGGGGATGTGGGCTGCCCAGGGCAGGAGCCATGACCTTGGGCAAAGGCTGCCCTGTTGATGAGGCAGCTCCCAGAGCAGCCAACAGCTGAGGGCTGACAGCTGCTGTCCTCAGCAGCTGGGGACACAAACCCTACAGGGCTGCGGTGGGGATTCAGGAGGTCCCTGGTGAGAAGGGGTCATTTGAGGAAGAAGCCAAAAGAATGGAATCAGAAAAGGGGAGTAACATTTCCAAGCTGAACTTGACCAAATCAAGGGCCCCCGGGGGCCAGACCTGACTTAGTCCAACGTCTCAGTGTGGACTGGAGTCCCAGACGCACCCTTTTTGATCCTGTTTTCTGCATCCTGAGAGGCAACAAGTGCGTGGGTCCCTCCTACATGGCAGACCGGGATGGAGCTCCGGGCTCCCAGCCCAGCCATGGCTGTCGGGAACGTCTAGGAGTCAACCATGAGATGGAAGATCTTCTGTGTGTGTCATCTCACTCTGCCTTTCAGAGAGATTAAAAAAAGAGAGAGAGAAAGAACAGGGTAACTGGGGCGCAGTGGGCAGGAGAGGCGGGTGTGAAATGGTACCAAGGTGAGCCAGGGCCACACTGGTCCTGACCTGATGTGGTGCATGAGGGCCTGGGGAGCCTCTGCAGGGTTTTGAGGCATGGGGGGACGCTGTTGTGTGTGTGTGTGTGTGCTTTGAAAAGCTGCTTCTGGCTGCCTTAAAGAACCCCTACCCAGAAGGGCGAGGTGAAATGAGAGGTGACAGACTGCACCCCCCAAACCCCTACAGACCTGGACCCCCTGCAGCTGAGTGCGGCTGAGGAGCTATCCCTGTTACAGGGCAGCAACACCACCGTGAACTGCTCTGCCCACGGCCTGCCCACCCCTGCCCTGCGCTGGATCAAGGTGGGAGCCGGGGGGCACTCACACCTACCCATCCTGTGCCCACCCCCTCACCTGGCCCTGACTGGCCTCTTCTCTCTCCTCTCCAGGACTCAACACCGCTGGAGGACGGCCCCATGCTTCCGCTCAACTCCGTCACCTTCGACTCCATGGGCACCTATGTGTGTGAGGCCTCCGTGCCCACCATGCCCCTGCTCACCCGCACTCGAACCTTCCATCTGCTGGTCCAAGGTTCAGTTTGGATGGGGGCAAGGCTGGGATAGGAAACCCATGATGGTTCTGTACTGGGATCTTTGCCTCCTTTCCTCTGACCTTACTGTACTGCGGTCCCCTCACCCACAGGGACCCCAGAGTTAAGGGCAGAAGAGATTGAGCCCAAGGCAGAAAGTGGCTGGAGAGAAGGGGACGAAGTCACGCTGGTCTGCTCTGCCCGCGGCCACCCGGTGCCCAAGCTGACCTGGAGCCAGCTGGGAGGCAGCGTAAGGCACTTTCCCCTGCCCCACCCCAACCCCAACCCCGTGCCCACCCAGCTTCCTGCTCCTCCCCCTCCCTCCCACTTCCAGGGGACTGGACTTCCTTCACCTCTGCCCTTGCCCCCAGCCCCTGTGACCCCTTGGGGCCCCGGGCCTGACCCGAGCCTCCACAGTCAGCAGAGCCAGCCCTCAGCGGGCAGGGCTGGGTGAGCAGCTCCCTGACCCTGAAGGTGACCAGCACCCTGAGCCGTGAGGGCGTCTTCTGTGAGGCTGCCAACCCCCTCGGGCATGCCCGGCATGTCTTCCACTTCGGCAACGGTGAGTGGGGCCCCTCTCGAGGGAAGGAGAGGCGTGAGGAGGGTGGCTGCGGGATTGACCCTGCCCACTGACCCCTCCTCTCCCTCCCGTTCCCGCAGTGGCCCCCCAGACCGCTCAGGCCGGAGTGGCCGTCATGGCCGTGGCCGTCAGTGTGGGCCTCCTCCTGCTCGTCGTGGCAGCCTTCTACTGCATGAGACGCAAGGGGCGCCCCGGCTGCTGTCGGCGTGGGGAGAAGGGGGCTCCGTAAGTGACCTCTGCCACCCAGCCCCTCCCTGGCCTGGCCCTCAGCCCCAATCATCCCACGGCTCGCTGAATCCCGCTTCAATCCAGTGACCACTTCCAAGCCCATCCTCAGCCCCACACTGCCACCCCAGCCCTCATTGTTCCCCACACCAGCCCTGTCACCCTCTCCCCAACCCCAGCACACAACCACTCCCAGTGCTAACCGCGTCCCCAGGGTCACACCTAACTTCCCCACTTCCGGCCTTGCCACGCCAATTGCTAACTGCAAAGCGACCTCGATCAGACCCATGCCCCAAGTCACTCCAACCCCAACGCCATGGCCGTGCTGACGCTTCCCAGCTCACTCACACCTGTCCCCCAGTCTTTTCCCCACGAAGCTCAGCCCGCCCTCACACTCCCTGTCCACCCCACGGCCACCACCGCCTTGTCATTGTGGCGCCTCCTCCCGCAGGCCACCTGGGGAGCCGGAGCTGAGCCGCTCAGGGCCCGAGCAGACCGGCCTTCTCATGGGAGGCGGCTCTGCAGGAGCTAGGGGTGGCAGCGGGGGCTTCGGAGATGAGGTGAGGGAGGCCTTGGCTGACTCTAGGACGGGGCAGCCTGCTGGGCATGGGGGTCACAGCCTGGGTGGGCAGGGAGGTGAGTGGGGCGGCGGCAGTCTGATCTTCTGTCTTTCCCCAGTGCTGAGCTCAAGGAACTGAGAAGCAGTCCCAGGCCCAGAATAGGGGCCTTGGAGAAGCAGCGCCCGCCCGCCTGCCTCGCCTGCCCCTTCCTTCTGCCTGCTGGGCCCTCCCTTCCTTCCTCTGCCTGCCGGGCAGGGACCCGCAGCCATGGGCCTCCCGGAGGTGGGGGCGGTGGGGAGGGGGAGGCGCCAGAGGCCGGGTGGCTGGGAGGGAGCCTTCCTGCAGCCACTGTGACTCTCCCAGGCCCCAGAATAGCTCCTGGAGGCCAGCCCAGGGCCCGGCCTGGGAGCAGGCACCGAGGGTCGACTGGCCGCCACTATTTTTACCTCCTGCCTCTCTTGCTGGCCGCCCCCCCACACCCACCTGCTGCATAGTCGGACACTGGATCCCCGCTCCCACCCTCGCCCCTACCCCATCATCCATGGACACTGGAGTCTGGAATAAATGCTGTTTCACATCGACACGGTAACATGGTCCAGTGGGCAGGGAGGGGAAGGGGCACGGGGGTCCCACCCCCATGCGGCGCTTTCCTGTCTGCCCCCTCACGAGACCTTGGGAGAAGCTGATGTTATGGGGGAGAGAGCGGACAGGCAGTGCCCACAAGTGACTCAGCGTGCTGAGGGTGGGGGAGTGAGGCAGGAGGAGGCAAGATGCCATCCATCGCTGAGGCCCCAGGGCCTGCTCCGAAGTGGTATGCTGTCCCCTTAAGGAAAAAGTCCCAGCGCCCCCAAGGGAATGGAGGCTGGGAGCCCATGGGGTCAGGGAGGAGGATGGGTTCCTGCAATGGAGTGGGGGCCCTGGGGACCGAGATGGGAGCATAGCCTGAGCCTGCCTGGCGCTCACATCTGATAGAGACAGGGTTCGCAGGGGCCCCTAGGGGGCTGCTGTGAGAGCCGCCGCGAGAATCCTGGCGCCCACATTGCTGAGGAGGGTTGCTGGCAGCCAGGGCTAGGGCGGGGTGGGGGCTCTCCCCTCAGTTGCCCCCTACACCAGGGCCTCTCAGTGTTGCTGCTATGTCTAATCTTGGGCCCAGGACCACCACCACCCCAGTCCCCTGGGCCAGCTCACCCACAAAGTGGGATGCGGTGCTGGGGCTGCTGGGAGAGGGGCACTCACGGGACAGTAGAATCTGATTGGAAGCAACGGGGGTAGGTTCATACGCTTAGCTTCCGTGCAGGGGTCCCCAGGTCCACGTGTCTCGCTTCCCTTGCCATGGTGTGGTGTGCACAGCCAACGTGGACAGGGAGCACTGGGTTGAGGGTAGTGCCAGGGGCACCTGCGCTCCCGCCTAGCCAAGCACCTGTGTGGCAGCCTGTTAACCTGCAGAGCCCGGGATTCAGCAGCGCAGAGGGCCTGGCCAGCAGGGCCGTGGGCAGGACATGGGGATGCCCGATCCTGCCTCAGTACAGTCCCCCTCATTCGTGGTGTCAAAGCTGCAGAAGGTCCTGGAACACCGCCCGCCCCCCACCCCACGCACACACATACACACACAGGATGCCTCTTGCTGTACACGATGCAGCTACATTCCTAAGTCAGCAAGAGACTCGTAGAACGGACAAAATAGGACAGTTGTAACAACAGAATACAATAAATGTCATTTCGAGCTCTGCTTTCTTTCTGGACTTGATCATTTGGTCTTCTCTGACCACGGGTGACCACAGGTGATTAAAGCCATGGCTCGTGGGGGCCTCTTGCTCTCATTGTAGTAGAGCGTATTAGCTCCCATATCCATGCTTGGAAGGGTGTGGGAACTCTGAATCCATGGGCCATGGCGAGGGGCTTCGCACAATGCTGGCGTCTGCCAATTGTTTCCCATTGGGAAAGTGGAGGGAGAGACCCCGCTAAGGGGGGCAGGCGGTCAGGGGGGTGAACAGATGGCTGAGGGAAAGGGGAGATGGGGCTCCTGGGAGGAAGGGGTTTCCGCCCAGCACCTGGTCCCCAATTCAAGGGCAGAATCCCAGCCCCGCCTCCATGCACATTTGCATAAGGTCCTTCATCTGCCTGGCACCTAAGCATCTCGGGACATTTGCATACAGATGGAAGCCTGGGTCCACCTTAGTATGACCTTGACCGAGGGCCCGGGAGAAGAGGTAACAGAGAAGAGGAAAGGGAATGTTGTCGCCTAGAGGGTCAAGCTGTTGTCCGAGAGGGTGACAGCCCGTGTGGTAGCGGTTCCTGTCAGCTGCTCCAGCTGAGACCCAGCTCCCGGTTAGCCCGCCTGGGAAAGCAGCAGACGTTAGCCAAATGTGTGGATCCCTGCCACCTCACGGAGACCCAGATGAAGCTTCCAGCTCCTGGCTTTGGCATGGCTCAGCTCTGCCCATTGTGGCTCTCTGGGGCATGAACCAGAGGAAGTTTTCTGTAGTTCTGTCTTTTCACTAAAAAATCTCTATTTATATGTATATTATATATACATTATAAATAAAAGGGCAGGGCAGATGAAGGGCCTGGCGGACACCCCCTCGGGTTCCATCAGGCCAGGTGGCCTGTGGGTCAGGTGTCCTCTGGGGGTGAAGTGCCATCCTGGCACTCCTTGGCACTGTCAGTAAACTCCTCAGGGGCCCTGTCAACTGTCCACGTGTGGGGCAGTGCGCAGCCCCATGTGTGTCCCCATATGCACCTGCCCTGGGCTGTGAAACTCCGGCCTATACTTCCAGGCCTTCCTTCCTGGGATCAATAACTGAGTGTACTCACTGGCAAGCCTGGAAGGCTTCCTGGAAGAAGACTACTCCCTGGGGATTATTTGGCTGAGAGAAAGGAGCTCAGGATTTTGCAGGCTAGCACTGAAGCCTGGAGGGGCCGCCTGTCCCCTGCCTGCAGAGAGCAGGTCAGGGCACCAGTATCTTGTGTTTAGTGTCCCTTGCACCAGCACTGACCCTCCGTTAAGTGGTGGCCATGACAGTGTTTTCTTCATGGGGTTCTTGTGAAGAATTAAGCAAGGCATCTCAAGGAGGGTCAGTTCTCGGGCGGCCAGTGTTGGGGTGTAGTGGGTTAAGCCACAGGAGTGCTGATTCCAGTACTGGCTGCTCCACCTGCGTGCACCTGGGGAAGCAGCAGAGGACGGCCGGCCTGAGGACTTGGTCACTCCTGCACCCATGTGGGAGACAGATAAAGCTGCTGGCTTCCTGTTGCCCGGCCCAGCCACAGCCCATGTGGACAGTGAACCAGCAGATGAAAACCTCTTGTCTCTTTGCCTTCCAAATACACAAATCTTAAAAAACAAAACAAAAAAGTTACTTCTGCACCTGTTTGTTTTTTAACTGTGACTTTGGGCCAAGCGGTGGGTTATTTGAGATATTGTTTGTAACGCTCAGCTCAGCACCTGGCACACACTTCAGCGTCAAACACACTTACTACTAACTCCGGAACCTCCTACCAAGAGACCTCACCGTTCGGCGGAGGAAGAGTCAAGGTGTGCAGCAGGTGGGGAGGGAGGGCCCAGGTGGCCGAGGGGGGCCTGCAGCGGGGCTAGGAGGTGCCCTGGTGCTGACCCTGAAAGGTGGGGTCCTCCCACGCTCTCCCCTGAACCCCGAGACGCGCGCCCCGGCCCCGCAGCCCAAGGAATGCGAAGAGGCAGCCGGGGGTGGGGAGGAGCAGGGCCGCCCGGGGAAGAGACAAAGGGGCCGGGCGTCGGAGCGAGGCGCCCGGGGACGTGAGGGGAAGTGGGACGAGGACGCGGGGAGGGAGGCCGGGGCCCAGGCGGCCCACCCCGCGCGTGCAGTCGGCCCGCCGGAGCCCTCGGTCTGTGCTGCCCCCTGGCGGCGGCGGCGTGGGCCCGGGACGGGCGGAGAGGGCGGCCGGCTGCGAGGCAAGGGACCGGAGGCCCTGAGAGCGAGACGGACACGACGGGGCAGCGACCGACGAGTGGAAAGAGACCCAGGGCCGCAGGCGCGTGGGCTGACGGGCCGGCCCCAGGGAGAGAGAGACACTTCTAGAAAAACCACGGAGTCCGGACGCGAGATAAGAACACGCGGTTCTCTGAGATTCTTACCCCGTCAGACGCCAACCGGCCCGCAGGCGAGGGGCGTGGCCCGCTCGGCGTGGGGCGGGGCCTCGCAGGGGGCGTGCCCGGGAGTGCTCACGTGCCTCACGCAGGTGTGACTGGAGAGCCTCGGGCGGGGGGGGCGGGACCCGAGCCAGCTTCTGGGGCGGGGCGAGGCCGCAGGAGGGGCGGGGTCTCAGCGGGGCGGGGCCTCGCTCCATTGGCGTGCTCTTCGCTGGAGGCGGGGCTTCGCGGCTCAAGGGGCGTGGCTTACGAACGTGCAGAGGCGGAGATAGAATTCCTCGGGGACCGGTGAGTACGGAATCCTGGGGAAGAGTGGGCGTGCCGGTCGGGGGGCGGGGCCCGGGCCCGGGAGGGGGCGGGGCCGCCGCCGAGGGTCCTCTCGGCGTGAGGCGGAGGGAAGGGGTGGGTCCTGTGACGTCAGCCAGTCCGAACGGCCAGAGCCCAGCGAGGGGCCGGGGGGCGCGGATCCCGGAGAGCCGGGCAGGGGAGAGCGAGCGATCCTGAGCCGGGCCGGATTGGGGGGGACCCCGGGAGGACAGAACTGCGAGAACCGAGAGCCTCCCCGTCCTCCCTCCCGTAGTGGAGCCCCTCAGGCACCTGCTCGCCCGCCCGGCCGATCCGCGCGCGCATCGTGGCCCGCAGGCCCCCGCCCGGGCCCAGTCCCCTCCTGGGGCCCCCATGGCCCGGGCCGCAGCCCTCCCGCCATCGAGATCGTGGCCGACGCTGCTGCTGCTGCTGCTGCTCCGGGAAGCCGGTGAGTGACCGCGGCCGCCCCACCCCTCTCCTTCCCCTGCTCGCCGTGGCGTCCGAGAGCTGCCCCCTCCTGCCCGTCGCCGAGCCTCCTCCTCGCGCGCCCCCTTCCTTCCTTCCTCCCTTCCTCCCTTCCTTCCTTCCTAGCCCGATCCCCGCTCCTACCCCGCCGTACCCGCACACGCCCCATGCTCCGACCGCCCCCATCTCTCTCACCTTTGGAATCCCAACTGCCCATCCTAGGCTGGACTCGCCTCCCCTCCCCCCTGCCCGCGCCCAAGGGGTTAAATCCGAGGGCCCCCCGTAGGCCGCGGGTCCCCTGCCCACCCCGCGCCGACCAGCCCGCCTGGATCCGGGTTTCCTTCTCCGCTACGCCCCTCAGGAATGTGGAGAATGTGTCTCCCACCCCCTCCCACCCCAGCCAGGAGGGTCGAGGTGTGGAGAGCAGACGACCCCCCATCCACAACCACCCCTTTTGACTGGGTTGGGGCGTTCGAGGCCCCGGGAGAATCCAGGCCCAGGGATGAGATGTCGGGGTCCCCCAGGAGCGGGGTGCAGAGCTGGGATGCCAGGTCTCCTGGAGGCCCGAGGATGAGAGTTGGGGTGGCCCGGTGGGGCGGGTGGTGGAGGGCGGAGAGGGGTGAGCTCGGCGAGCGACGATTGCGGGCTGCGGGGAGTTGGGGACCCCTGTCTCCTGAGTCCCATAGAAATGTGGGCGAGGGACTGACTGTCTCACTGGGGTCTGACTGAGGCTGGTGGGCAGCGCGCTGTGTGGCCGCGGTTTGCAGGATGAACTTGGGGGGCAGAGGGTTCTGTCTGGGTGTGGGATTTCCTTGTGGGGCAGAGAAAGGTCTCTTAGGGCGCCGTGGCGGGAGCGGGCGGGAGACCTGGTTCCTGGGCCTCGGGAGCCTGGAGGCCGGCTTGGCCCCGGAGCCGCAGGCGGAGTGGCCAGCCGGGTCCCTTTCCTGGTGAGCGCCCGCCGCAGCGTCCCTGGGGAAGTTTTTCCGGTTTCACTTTCGGGGGGCGGGCAGGCAGCCACGCTCCCGGCTCCCGGTTCCGGACTCCCGGGTTTGGCCACCTTATCTTCCCTCTGGCCGCGCCTTTGTCCTCGGAGCCGCCGCCCTGGTCCCCGCCCTTCCCGCTGCCGGGGCTCCTGACCACCCAGCTCCTGAGCCTCCCCACCCCCAAGAAGGGCGAGAGGTGCGGCTCTAGGGGCGGAGGCGCCTAGGTGAAACAGGTGGAGGCCGCCGGGTGCTGGGGGTTCCCTGCCCGCTCTTCTGCTTGTCTACTAGCCTTCACCTCCAGCCCCCGACCCCTTCTGTGCAGACAGGGAGCTGGGACCAGAACTTCCCACCTTCTCTGGGGTTGAGCTTGGGGCGCAGGCACACAGAGGGTTCTAGTGGGCTTGCTGAGACAGGGCCTATTCATTCTTGTTCCCATTTTGCAAATGAGAAAACTGAGGCATTACAAGGACCAGCCTGTCCTGAGGGAGTCAGTCTGGAGTTCTCCCTCTCTCTTTTGTTCTTTGTTTTGGTTTGTTTTTTGTTGTTGTTTTAAGATTTATTAATTTGTATTGGAAAGTCAGATATACAGAGAGGAGGAGATATAGAGAGGAAGCTCATCCGTCTGATGGTTCAATCCTAAGTAACCACAACGGCCGGTGCTGCGCCGATCCGAAGCCAGGAGCCAGGAACTTCCTCCTGGTCTCCCACGCGGGTGCAGGATCCCAAGGCTTTGGGCCGTCCTCGACTGCTTTCCCAGGCCACAAGCAGGGAGCTGGATTTGAAGTGGGGCTGCCAGGATTAGAACCCGCACTCATTTGGGATCCTGGTGCATGCAAGGCCAAGACTTTAGCCACTAGTCAGCCACTCTGGGCCCATTCTCTTGTTTCTTTAAGATTGTTTATTTTACTTGAAAGTTACAAAGAGGGAAGAAACACAGAGAGCTCTTCCATCTGCTGGTTCACTCCCCAAATGGCTGCTCAGAAGCCAAGAGCTCCTTCTAGGTTTCTGGGGCCCAAGGCTTTGGGCCATCCTCTGCTGCTTTCCCACACGAATTAGCAGGGAGCTGGATGGGAAACGGAGCAGCCAGGACACTGCCAGAGCCTGTGCCCAACGCCGGTGCAGCAAGGGGCAGTTTTACTGGCTACACCATGGTGCTGGTTTCAGGCCTGCCCACCTGAAGTCAGCTTGTTACAGCCCTTGGCTCCAGAAAGTTCTGTTTCCTCCTTGTATAACCTAGGTTTCAGTTCCTTCCCTGCGAGATTCCTGGATGGCTTCAGGGGTGCAGCTGGCCAGGGGGGCGTCACCCCTTTCCTCACCTGTTCTCTGTCTCCCTCCCCCTCCCCCTCCAGCCCCCGCTGTTTGTGCCTTTACGCATTGTTTTTCCTTTTTTTCCTCCCCACCTGCCTCTCCCCTGCTGTGTACCAGTGCCTGAGCCACCTGCCTTCCCCGGGGGATGAGGTTCCTGCCCCACCAGGGCCTCAGCAGGCTGCCCCCTCCCTGCACCTCTCCAGCTTCCCCGGCTCTGCCCGTCAGCCTGGCAGTGGGGGGGATGGGATAGCGGTCACTGCAGGCCTGCCTGTCTCCTCTTGTTAGTGACTGGGAACTTGGGGGCGGACGACAGGCCGGATGGGAACAGCCGCCTAGAGGGGAGGGGGAGGGGCGGGTGGGGATTTTGGGGGTGGACTACAGCACGTCCAGGGCCTCAGCTGGGACTGGGGACAAACACACGTAGGGAGGCTGAGGTGTGGGGACAGGCAGGGAGCTCAGAAGACCCCAGGCCAGAAAGACTGGAGAGATGTATCCCCAGCAAGTGTCAAAGCCAGGGTCACGGCAGGCCAGGCAGAGGAGGACACACACAGGCCAGCTCCTCCGCCTCTGCCTGGGACGCTGTTACATTTTTAATGTCCCAGCAATGCTGAGAAATGGAGTAGGAGGAGGAGAGAAGTGGTGTGTCACACTCAGAGCCCCTGGGGGAGGCAGGCCGGTGGGGAGCGGAGGGGGAGAGAGCTGAACTCCAGGAGTGGAGCCAGCAGAGGAGGCAAGCGCACAGCCACCATCTCTGGGCTCGGGAGGATGTGGCCATGGTGCACCTGCTTTGTGGATCTGGTGTTGGGAGCTGTGTTTCAGCCAGGCTATTCAAGGCAGAGACCCAGGGGCTGCTGGACAAAGTAATTGGGGCGGGGGGTCGGGGGGAGACACAGAGGGGCACCAACGAAGGATACCCAAGAAAGGGGTGCCTGGAGCCCCTGAGAGACGCAAAGAGGAACTGGTATAGAAGGTGTCCCAAGAAGGGTCAGGTGGTCAGACGTCACAGGAGGTCAAGCCAGGGACCTGGCCGTCTCCCTCCTGGCTCAGTGTGATGACCACCATCAAAGACACGACTGGGGCAGGTGCAGCAATTGCAGGCAGACAGCCATGTCCATGACCACAGTGGCTGCTTGCTCCCCAGACCGACTCCTGGATTTCCGCTGCGGGGGTGGACACTGTGATGAATGCAATTAATTAATTAACAAGGCGGCTGAGGCAGCAGCTGAGGCCAGTGCCCAAAGCACGCAGGCCTTCAAGGGGCTGCCACGCCCTGCCGCCGAGGGAGGGTGAGTGTGAGGTTTTATGGGTCTGGAAGGACAGGACAATCTGTAGACCCAAACCTGGGCAGCCACTCCAGCAGGGGCCCCGGGCCCAGCCCCCTCCCTCAGACCCAGGGCTCCAGGCTCCGATGTCACTGTATACCCTTCTCTGCCTTGTCCCTGTCCCATGGGCTCACACCTTCCAGCAGTACCCTCCTCTCCCACTCTCCCTCCACTGCAGGAAGCCTGCAGCAGGTCTGGTCCACAGGGACAGGAAGTGTGTGGGGGGACCCAGCTGACACCTCATGAAGCTGTCACTCGTCTGGCAGGTCCAGGAAGGCTGAGGGTGGACAATCTTCCCACGGCCACTCTCTTCCCCCGGCCGTGGGACTGGCTGCATCCCAGCCGAGGTCATGGCAGCGGTGCCCGCCCGGCAGCGAGCTGGATGTTGGGGTTCTGACTCCTGGCCAGCCTTCTTCCTGGCCTCATTTCCCTGCCCCCACCCCGGCCAGCCAGCTGCCAAGTCCCAGTGTCCCAACCTCCTTCTCCCTTACTTTCTCCACATTGATCGCTCTGTCCCCAAAGCCCTAACTCCAATGCAGGCTCCTCTTCTGGATTCCTACCTCATCTTTCTTTTTTTCTTAAGATTGAGTTTTATGGGCCCGGCGCGGTGGCGCAGTGGTTAAGGTCCTCGCCTTGCACGCCCAGGATCCCATATAGGCGCCAGTTCTATCCTGGCGGCCCCGCTTCCCTTCCAGCTCCCTGCCTGTGGCCCAGGAAAGCAGTAGAGGACAGCCCAAAGCTTTGGGTCCCTGCGCCCGCGTGGGAGACCCGGAAGAGGCTCCTGGCTTCGGATCAGCATAGCATCGGCCGTTGCACTCACTTGGGGAGTGTATCATTGGACGGAAGATCTTCCTCTCTGTCTCTCCTCTCTGTATATCCACCTTTCCAATAAAAAAATAATAAAAATAAATCTTAAAAAAAAAAGATTGAGTTTTATTGGAAAGTCAGGTCTACAGAGAGAAAGATAGATCTTCCATCCACTGGTTCACTCCCCAAGTGGTTGCACTGGCTGGAGCTGAGCCAATCTGAAACTATGAACTTTTTCTGGGTCTCCCACGCAGGTGCAAAATCCCAAGGCTTTGGGCTGTCCTTGACTGCTTTCCCAGACCACAAGCAGGGAGCTGGATGGGAAATAGTGGAGCAGCCAGAACCAGCGCCCATGTGGGATGATGGTGCCACAGGGTGGAGGATTAGCCTGCTGAGCCACAGCACCATGCCTCTTCTCCCTAACCCCTGCCGCCCCATCTTCCTAAAGTACAAGCCTTACCCTGTTGTGCCCTTGCTTAGCACTGTCCATGGCTGCCCAGGGCTCCACACCCAAGCCCTGACAGCCCCAGCCTGCGAGGGTGAAGTTCACTTTGTAGCCCTGCTTGTTCCCCATCTCACCCAGTGCATTTGCCAGAGCCCCCAGGCTCCAGGGATAGGGCAGTGGACAAGCCTGAGTCCCTGGCACGAATGCTCTAGTGGGTGAGAAAGAGCGGGTGGAGTAGGAGCTAGAGCAAAAGGAACCTTGAGAGTTACCAGTGGGTGTTTAGAGTGTCTCACTGAGCCAGGACTTGGAGGACGGGAGGCACAAAGGCCCTGGGGACGGAGGAAAAGTAAAAGGCCCTTGTGGCTGTAGCGGGTGGGCCCGAGGCAGGGGCTGGGAGACAAGCCACGGGTGCAGGACCCGTGGATCTGTATGGCTGCTGAAGAGACTTGTCTGAGTGAGGGGGCAGGCGGGGACCCCTCTGTCGCCTGTAGAGACACACAGCACACAGGAGGGCAGGCGGATTGCATCGGGGGAGGACCTGGAGGACCATGTGCCTTTCAAACGGACCACTGACTTCATGGCGCCAGAAGTGCCCCATTTGCGCACTCAGGGTGGTTTGTTTATATAAAAGGCAGTTACAGAGTTGTGGAGAGATCTTCATTCATTGTTTTCACTCCCCAAATGACTGTCCTGGCTGAAGCCAGGAGCCCAGAACTGTCTCACTTGGATGGCCTTTAAAGGCCCTGGCCCCTGGGCTGCTTCTGCTGCTTTCCCAGGTGCATTAGCAGGGAGCTGGATTGGAAGTGGGGCAGCCAGGATTTGAATGGGATGCTGGCACCACAACACAAGCCCCTTGTTCAGAATGAGCAATTACAGCAGGGGGGCTGGGCACTTCCTGTGCTTCCTGCTGTGACAGCAGGTGCCCATGTCCTGGGTGTTGGTGTGAGCCACAGGGCAGAAGGGTGGGGTGTGGGAAGGCAAGGACGGGCCACTCGCTCATGTTCCATGTTGAACACAGTTGGGAGAGGAGCCTAGCCATTGGCCAGGGAAGGCCCAGCCCCCTGTGGCCCTGCGGGGTGTGCCAGGTACCCCAGGAGTGCAGACAGACAGATCTTTCATTTGCAGATTCACCCCTCAAATGTCCCACAGCCTGGGCTGGGCAAAGCTCCAGTGAAAACCCCGAGAGCCAGGAACTCGGGGCAGCGGCTGCGTGGGCGTCTGGGTTTCAAGTACTTGAGCCATCAGCATTTGTGGCCTCCTGGCAGGGGTGCACATTAACAGGAAGCTAGACCTGGGCCATGAGCCAGGATTCAA